AAAATATTAGAGACTCACCACAACAAAAACATTTAAAGAATATAAATCCAATTGATTTTGGTGACTCTGCTTTTGATATTGCCATTCAAAATAACAATTTATTAATGATAGAGTACTTGCTATCATTCAACCAAACAATTGGTTCGGAGGAAGAAGAAGATCGTTGGATAAAAGTGGTCCTATCAGATAATCCATCATTAATTAGTTTATTAAACACACCAAACGATTTATTGTCAAATATACCAAGTCTTAAGGCAAATGCATTACATGTAGCAGCATTAAGAAAATGTCATCAAATTGTACCATCGCTGATTGAAATAGGTGTTAGTCCATTTGAAACATGTTTATATGAAAACACCACACCATTACAATTGGCTGCATCTTTAGGAAATTGTCAATTCATCAAAAGTCTATTAAGGTCTTTATATAAAAATAAAGATAAATTGAACCAAGTACTGACATCAAGTGGTCACTCATCTGGTGGAAAATCTGCATTAGAACTCGCTTTATTTAATGGCCATTTATCATCAGCATATATTTTAATTCAAGCATCTCCCGATATATCTATAAGTAAACCATCATTAAAACTTTTAAACTATATTGCATCAAATCAAAATTCTCAAAACAATTGGTCAAATCAGGAATTTCTATTCAAACTATTAGCTATTTATGGTGATGACTCTATTTCCTTAAAGAATTTGAATACATCTCAAAAAGCTCAAGAATTTTATGACAGCAAGCTTATTTCATCTTTTTGGTCATCAGAAAAACTTGTATCTTTGCAAAAATCAATTGATTCTTTAGATTTTACATCAAAATCATATCAAGGTAAACTCGAAAGATCCATTAGATTTGGCTTTTCAATGAAAAAATCAAGAGAAATATTAACTATGAATTGGTTAACAACAAGTATAGAAAGAATAGATATTGGAAGTGATAACTATTTAGAAACCAGTGATATATTATTAAACTATTTGCAGGATATTAGTTTAAATAACTCTTCTTCAATGGAATTTTTAAAATTTGCTCAATCTAAATTTAGCTCAACATGTCAAATTAATCTATCAAGTTATATTTACCAGTATTTAAATAGTAGTGTCATTTATATCGAAAATCTTTATAAGAACTTTGATGAAGCTTACCAATGCCTAGCTCAAATTCAAGATAAATCATTAATATCAGCATTTGATAAAGAAATTGCAAGCAAATGGCCATGGATGTATCTATTTGAAGCAACAACTGACAACGGTTTGAAACTGTTTACAATTTTAGATAAGGTGTTAAAAACCAATAATATTCAACTTTACTATTGGTTTATTTCCCATTTTACTGCCCCAATAAAGAGTTTATTTATAGAATCCACTGTTCCACTAATTAAAAATGCCATTGATAGATTTTCACAATTTGTTACAATTTTCAAAGATGACCCAAGTCTACTAGAATTTCTACCATACCCACCATCAGATTTACAATTATCATTCCAATGTGAAAATGGAAGAAAAAATATTCAACTTGCAATTAATTCTCTTCAAAAACAAAAACAACTTCAATATATTCAAGTTTCATTTCTTCAATATTTACCAAAATCAACAGAATATATTCAAAAATCATTAAAAAATTCTTTACCAGATACATTATTAGTTTGTAGACAAACATTTGAAATATCCTCTTTTCTTATAAATAATAATAATAATAATAATCAAATTGAAGAACAAGTATTAGATTTAATTTCTTCATGTTCACATGTATTATTGAAAGCTTTTAGAGGTATAAGAAATAGTTCAAATAACAAAGTTTTAAATTTAGTATTTTTATTAAACTATCAAACAAATTTAAGATTATTAGAAATGATGGATTATCAAACTTCACTTCCAACAGATTGCAAATTATCATTGGTTCAATTCTTTGATTCAATTTTACAAGTTAATGAATATAATATTATCTCTGAAGGGGATATATTGTCAATGGAATCCTCAAAAGAAAAGAATAACATTACAAGCGGTAGAATTGATTGGTGTAGAGATATGCAAACCATTATAGCTCAATCCCCACAGCTTATTAAATATATTGGCCAATCACATTTCTCGAAACTTTTAGGAATGACTTTAACCTATCAAAAGACCATTCAGAATAGTACTACCACATCTATTAAAAACATTGGTGGATACTCTTTAAGATCTTATATTGATATCTCTCAAAAACTATTATCACTATCATCAATAATATCAGTCAATAGAATTTGGGAAATTTCAGATTATAAAGGATTAGAATGTTTATTCAAGAATGTGATGGATGAAGAAATCAAAAATAAAACCAATCAAATACCCTTTAGCCAAGTTTGGGAATACTTTAAATATCCTCAAAATAAGCAGCCACTTCAAGATGATGATCTAAAAGATGTTGAAGCAATGTATTTAGAAATAGAGAGTATTCAAGATCAATTCAAAGATTTGACAAAACAATCACTAATAGAATATAGTATTAAAACATCAAAAAAACTAATTAAGCAAGTAAATAAGAAAACTATTGATAGCGAATTAGATACTATAGATACTGATGAAATTATCGATGCACCAAAGAAGGAGCAATTACTATTAATTAATAGCAAAACCAAAAAGTTAACAATAAAACTATTAAGTAGTTTACGTTGGTTAATTTACTATGAATTTGGTATCTTTCCATATAACACTCAAATATGTTGTGTATTGGGCTTAATTTTATACTCTAAGAACAAAACTTCATCTCTCAGTCAGCTAAATGGTAGAATTGGTCAAGTTCTTACAGGTGAAGGCAAATCCACAATCGTAGCATTATTGGCATCATATTGTGCTTTATTGGATAGACAAATCGATATTATTACTACATCAGAATATTTAGCATACAGAGACTACATCAAATTTGAAGGATTTTTCAAGCTATTTGGTTTAACCTCATCCCATATTTGTGGTGATTCCCCTCAAAAAGAACAATTTCAAGCTCAAATTTTATTTGGTACCAATACAAACTTTGAATTTGCACAACTCCGTGATTGTCTTTATGATACAAAGTCTTTGTTTACAAATGATGGAACACCACGTAAAAAGGATATAGTAATTGTAGATGAAGTTGATAGTTTATTTATGGACTCTGCATTAAATTCAGCAAGAATGGCAATACCAACCAATGATAGTCACGAATTTATGTATAAACCAATTTCAAATTATGTATATAGCAATTTTGTATCAAAACTAAACGATAAACAATTGAAAAAACTGTCAACCGTATTATATGATGACGAAAATAGCTACAAAGATGATTTCTTATTAAATAATAACGAGTTCTTTACAATAACCCCAACCCACTTTCAAGATATCAGAGATCTTTTATCAAATATTGTAAACTCGTTACCATATGATGAAAAAACAAAACAATTATCAATCAAATGGCTAAAAGGACTAGAAGATAAGAATATTAAAATGATATTGGACAACGCCATTAAATCATTTATATTAAAGGAAGGTTTTGACTATGTTATAATAGAAGATAATAATGATAAATCAAATGAAAACCAGTCAAAGAGTACAGTTGTTATAGTTGACAAAGCAAATACTGGTAGATTAATGATTGGGTCGCGTTTTTCAGATGGCCTACATGAATTTTTAGAGGTTAAACATGGATTATTACCAGAACAAGAAACTCTTACAGCTGCAGCCATTTCTCATCCATCATTCTTTAGTCAATATAATTGTGTATTTGGTTTAACAGGTACATGTGGTGAACCATCAGAAAGATTAGAATTAATGGAGGTATATAATGTTGATTCATTTAATGTACCAAGCTATAAACCTTCCCAACGTAAACAATTAGATTCAAAAATCTTTAAAACCATTAAAGAACACCAAGATTATATCACTAATGAAATAAAAGAACTGATAATCCAATCTAGACCTGTATTATTACTATTACCAACAATCAAAGAATCACAATCATTCATTACTATTTTACAATCACATAATATTCAACCACAACTATTAAATGAAATGCAACAAGAAGATGAAGAATTCATTATTACAAGAGCTGGTGAACCTGGTATTGTTACAGTCGCAACCAATACAGCAGGCCGTGGTACAGATATCAAATTAACAAAGCAATCTCTCGATAATGGCGGTTTATGCGTATTATTTGGTTTTTATCCAAAGAATTTAAGAGTTGAAAATCAAGGTTTGGGTAGATCCGGTAGACAAGGTCAAATTGGTAGTTGTAAAATAATAATTTGTTTAGAAACTTTAGAATCATACGATGATATTAGAGATCAAATTAATGATGAAAATGAAATAACAGCAACTGTAGAAAAGGAACAATTTGAAATATTAGACTTTGTGCGAAGTGAAAAATGTCAAAATTTGTCAAATATAAGATTAAATCAATGTTTTATTGAAAAGGAACAATTTAGGTTACTTGAAAGATATTTTAAACTACTTTTAAATATTAGAAACTACTTAAAAACATCAGAATTTAATCAACTATTAAAAGAAATTATTAAAGAACAAATCGAAGACCAATGCCACACAGAGGTTCTAATCAAATGTAAATGTAGTAATGAACAATTTAAATTATTTTTAAATTCGTCAACATTTTCAAACTTATTAGACTCATGTCCAAAGTTATTATTCTCATCGTCCTCTTCACAGCATAGCAATACCCTTCAATCTTTAACCGAAAGAATTAAGCAATCAATCATTGACTTTATCCAACAAGAATGGGCTCAATTTTTTACTATAAATTTTTCTACTCGTTCCCAAGCTCCCCATGATCAATTTAATAAATGGTGGTATCAAGATTCAATCGCTCACTGTTTAGAATTTAACATTGAATCCCATTTCAAAAAACTTATTTACGAATTAATCTTTCAAAATAAACAACAAAATAATTAAATAAAAGTAAAATAACTTTATGATAAAAATAACTTTAATACAAAACCTTTTTTTTTATTTTTATATTTAAATTTTAATTAACGATGGTTAATGAGGCTGTTGTGGTTGTTGTTGGGCTGTTACGGAAATTGGATCAGAACAATATGGACATTTACCAAAAATTGTAGAAAATGAGTATCTTGGATTGGGTAACGCTTTTAACCATTCGTATATGCAAGTATGATGAAAATGCTTTTGACACTTTAAATTATTACAAACTATATCTGGTAACGAGTAGTTACCTGTATCTTTTATATCTTGATCATCCGTTGGAGCGTGGAAAAATCTATGGGTATAACAAATTGCACACTCGATAACAATCTCTTCAATTTTAGTATTTTGTTTTAATGGAAATTCTAAATTTAAAATAGTTTGAAAATTATCAACCGGTGACCTGTTATCTTCTTTTTGAGCTCTCCATTCGTTTAAATTTTGATTTAATAAATTCTTTAAATTTGAGACTTTTTTAGCAGGACCGAGGAAATTGTGGTTAGATGGAAATGATCTTGGTTGTTGTGGCGATACTTCGAAACATAATGAACAGCCATTGCCTAAAGCAATTCTACGGTAGGTTGATGATCTTTTAGGGTTCTCTGGTTCCAAAACCCATGAATTTGAGTCGATATCATCCATAACATCAAAGAACTCTTGATACTCATTGATCATTATTTCGATTAGTTTCAATATATTTATGATTGAATATTTATTTTTGATTTCATCCTGTTTTTGTTTATGCTTTTCTTCCAATAGTAATTGTTGATTGTGATTTTGTATTCTATTCACCAATTCTAAATTGTCAATGGGTAAATCACATCTAATTAATGGTAACTGGCTTGGATAATTTTCATTAATTGCAAACTCTATTGAATATTCTCTGTTTTTTATATCTAATAATAATATTTCAAATGTTGAAAATGTATTTTTATCAATCTCTACAATTTTATCCCACCCTATATCATCCAATTCCTTTAAAACCAAATATAATACATTAATTGGTAGTGATGGTTTATTTGAGACTATAATTGGTGCCTTTCCTATTGTTGATGTTTGTTTTGATAATCTGTCGATAATATCTTTTAATTCATATAAAAATTGATTTAAATTTTTACATTGCAAAAATCTCTATTTTGAAAAAAAAAAATTTATTAGTACATTATAAATTATAAAGTTTATTGTTTTGTTTAAAGTAAACTTACATTTTTAATTGTTTGTGAATAAGGATGTAATATATCGTATAGTTCTTTTGTGCAATTGAACTCTAATTCTTCAAAGAATATACCATTATTTGTATTATTTTTATTATTATTGTTATTGTTATTGTTGCTTTTATTATCGTTTTCTATTGTCCTAATTTCCACAGGATATTCTTTCCCCAAAACATTTATAAATCCTTTATATTCATTTAATTTGGTATTTAAAGGAATTAAATGTGGAAAAGGTATTTCATCATTCATGAATACACATAAATAAAGAATTTGATAAATGACAAAATTAAAAAAAAAAAAAAAATAATATTAATTTTTAAAAAAAAAAATTTTTTTTTTTTTTTTTTATTAAAATTTATAATTTCATAGAATTAAAAAAACAATTATTTTGTTTTTTATAACTGTTTAAACAGTTCTGAAAAAATTTAATTTTTTATAAGAAAAAAGAACAAACAAATAATATTAAACTTTTTTTTATTATTTTATTAAAGCTTTTTCTTTATTGTTTTTTTTTTTAATGGTAATATAAACCATAATTATTTTTATCTTCGATATCTGCAGTAACAGAATTAAGTGTTTCAAATGAATTTAAATCGATTTTGGTGATGAGGTATTGGTCTGGTGATTGTGGTTTAGAAACAATAAAGAAGAATGGATCTGTATTGTTAACGTAGGCAAATGGAATACCATCATCGATAGCACCGGCACTATTGTCTAAGGTTAAAAGTAATTTGTTGGTAGCTTGATTATTTGCAAATGAAACCGAGTAGAAATTGATTTTGCTGCTGCCTGGGGTACTGCTGCTACTGCTGCCTTCGGTACTTGATCCAGTGGAATTAGTTACTTCGATCATATAAATATTGTTTGTAGTTGGTCCAACTGAAGTTTGCATTAAATAAACTTTATTTTCTACTGGAACCAAATCATTTTGGAAAACATATTCTTCAAAAGCTTCTTCTCCTGATGAAAGAACTGGTTGTACTAATAAATTACGTTGGTTAGTGGTTGGATCAATGTAGTTTATATATATATTTTTTTCGATTGGGTCGTATGTATGAACCAAACTGTTTTGGTATTTAGTTGCAACTGGGTATTTTGTGACATTGTAATAAAAGAAATAATTATAACAACATGTATCAAAACCTATAACTAGCATTTCATTGGTTTTCTTGGACCAACCAACATAGAATCTATAGTTGATAGATGGGTCATAACTGATTGGATGAATAGTAAAATCTGTAATAGCTGGGTGACAATTTTCTAAAAAAAAAATAAAATAAAGAAATAATTTCAGTTAATATGTGTTATTTAATATATTTTTCTTTTTCTTTTTTTAAAACAAACCATAATTAATATAATCTACAATTAATTCACCTTGGTCAAGATCACTGAATGTACCATCATAATAACTATTTTATAAAAATTTTAATTTTATAAATATTTAATTAAATTAAAAACCAAAAAAAATAAAATACCTACATTCCTTGATCATAAACCTACAAAAAGTAAAATTAAAAAAATTAAAATTTTGAAAAAAAAAAAAAGATTAAAGCAACTTACACCATAATAAAAATTATTTATACCATCATAGGCATAGGTTCCCATGAACTTTTCAATATATTGATATCTTGAATATAAAGTAACGTTTAAACTACCATCCTCCAATGAAAATCTGTTAAATGTGACATATGATAAAGTATTGATGGGAGAGCTAAAGAATGAAAATAATGTTGGTTCCTCTGACTATTTAAAAAAAAATTAGATCACTAAAATATTTAAATTAAAAAAAACATGTATTTTTTATACATACAGCATATACAGATAAAAAACCAAATATCAATACCAATAATAATAATTTATTCATTTTTTTTATTTCCTTTCGTTTTGTGTATGGGTCTGATATTTCAAAATGATTTTTTTTTTTATTTTTTCAAATTTAAATTTGAAAAAAAAAAGAAAAAAAATCAGATAGATATTATAATAAATGTTCAACGACACAAAAGCAAATATATGACGATTTCAATTCCAATTTTTTTTTTTAAAAAATAAAATACGAAAAAAAAAAGAAATTTTAAAAATAAAAATAATAACAAAAGATATTTTTGTGTGATAATAGTTTATTTCTTTTTTATTATTTTGGAAATATATTACATTAAAAAAAAAATATATATTGTTGTTCTAAAGATTTGTTAATTTTTTGGTTCTATGTGAAAAGGTGGTGATATACGATATATATCAATTAGATATAGATGATATTGATATGTAAATTAAATATTGTATTACTATTATGTGATTGTGGTTTCTGTTAGCTATTATTTATTATAATTTTTATATTAATTAAAACCAAAAGTATTTTCACCACTATATGTTATATATAAAAAACCATCTTCATCTTTATAACGTTCGTAAATTTGTGACATTAAAGCTGCAGTAGGTGGAATAGTATTATTGATAAATAAATAAATTGCTTTTTCTGCGTTCACTTTACTAGCTGTATTTTTACGTAATTCATATATAAACTATAAAAAGAGTTGATTGGTTAGTGTGTTGTCTTTTTAAAATTATTTGAAAAAATAAACATAAAAAAATAACATACTTTTCCGATAGTAATATCATTTGGTACTAAATATTTCTTTTTATCCAAGTCTGGGGCATCTGATTTTGGTGCTTTTTCTACAATAACTGGAATTCTATCTGCATATTTACTCTTTATTCTATCTGAAATCTCTTTTCTCTTTTCTGTGGATAATAATAATGAATTAGTATGAGTTTTACTTTTAATATGTAGTTATTGAAGAAAAAAACATACCAAAAGGAGTTTCACTTTTAAAACTTGTGGCGACCATTTTATGTATTTTATGAAATTTGGTTTATTTAAACTGATTAATTAAAAAATATGGTTTGTAATTAAAAATATATGAAAAAAACTGTGCGTATAGTTTATTATATTTATATTATGTAAAAAATTTTTATTTTAGTGTGGATATTTGTAATGCTATATAAAAAAAAAATATTTGAAAAATATTTATTTGTTTGTTTATGTGTGTTAAAATATTAATTAATTTAAAAAATAATAAAAAAAAAAGAAAAAAAAAAATTAAATAAAAAAAAAAAAAAAATTAAAAAATTAAAAAAAATAAAAATTTAAAAAAAATAAAATATTAAATTATTAAATTATTATATTTTTAAAATTTTTTTTTTTTGAAAATATAGGTTTTTCCATTTATTTATTTGTGACCAGAGGAAATGATTCTGGTTGGATGGTTCAAAGAAATGGGTAAGTATTTTATTTTTAAGTTAATATATTACACATACACTATCTGTCAATAATTAGGTAATTTGGATCATTAATAAATTGGTTATTATTATTATTATCTTTTTGGTTATTTTTGTATTTTTTATAATAATATCTAAAAAATACTAATAATATAATTATGGTAATAAAAACAATAGTATTCCATTGAATAGTTAGAGGTAAAAAAATAAAAATCGTTATAGTAAGAATGATTGGAGAGGCCAGGTATGGGAGAAACCATTTGTTTGGAATTGCTTTGTAGGGTCTGTGGTAGTTTGGATTGTATAGGTACAGTTTGATATAGACAACGCACTCTATTGCTATTACTATGCTGTAGATGGCCATGTCTAAATTTAGAATAGATTCAAAAGGCAGAGAAATAAACAAAGATACTATAGCGGCATTGAAAAGGATAGCAATGTATGGTGTTCTTCGTTTAGGTAGTAGTTTCGAAAAGAATTTTGGTATTAATCCTCTTTCAGAGATACTGTAGAAATTATTACTGGTTGCTTTTAGGCTGCATAAGAACCCACCTATTGCAGATGCCATACCCCCAATACTCATCAGTATTTCAAGCCATTTTCCACCAACTAATACAGCCAAGTTGGAGAATTCACCAGTGTACCATTTATCAGGGTCTCTTTCGAATTGCATGCCCACAATCAACGGTAATATATAGAATATAGTTGAGATGATAATAATTGCAAATACACCAATGGGATAGTTTCTTTTTGCACTTTTAATCTCACCTGCTAATTGCCCCAATTGGTCATAACCACTTATCGACCATAAAACTGTAATTATTAGTATGTTCCATTTTACACCACCAATATTTTTAATACCACCTATTAAAATAAATAATTATTAATATTTTTCTAAAATAATTATAATATCATATAGATCTATAGGTACCATTAATCGATAATATTTCACCTAATTGGACTTTACCAATACCAATGCAAACAAATATTACAAATGGGATTAATAAAACAATTGAAAAGATCGCACCAAAATAACCAACCTTTTCAGTGCCCCATATATTAATAGCAACCACAATAATAATTAAAACTATAGATATTAAAAAAGTACACCAATAGCATTCAGATAGTTTCCCACACCAAGTATAGTTTTCATATTTGGTATCAATAAAAATATTGGATAGATAGTGCACAAAGATAGGAGCGTATAGTGATAGATCTACTGTTGCAGAAAACCATGACAAAATACCAACAAAAAAGCTAAAATCTTCACCAAATGCTTTTTCTGCCCACTATATAGATATTAGTTAGATGGTTTTACACGAATTACAACGTTATTTTAAATATAATAAGAAATCTACATACCAAAGAACAACCGCCAACATCATTAACCATTAAACTTAGTTCAGCAGTAATTAAAGAGGTTGGTATACTCCATACAATTGGCAATAATAAGAAAGTCAATAAAACATAAACATAGCTTCCACAGCTTGAGACCAGTTCTATGCCATATGGACCACTCGAAGTAAGAAGATAGCCAATTGATATTAGTCCTATTAGTCCAACAGATCTTGGCGGTTTTTTTAAAGATAAAGATGAATTATCATTTTCAATAATAAAGGGTATTTCATCTTCATTCATTTATTTATTTTTAAACATTTATAATAAAAAATATAAAGAGAAGAGGAGATAAATTTAATTATTTTTATTTTTTTCAACCCAAAAAAAAAAAAGAAAAATTTTTAATTTTTTCATTTTTACACCACACCCCCACATGGAATAACCAAATATAATATAAATCGAAATTTTATTTAATATCTTTATTTTTTTCTTGTTTTTTAATTTTGTAAATAATTTTATAAAATTATAATTTTTTTAAAACTATTTTTTTTTTTTGGGAAATATTTTAGAAATTTTATTAAATCATATTTATAAATTTTGAGAAATTTTAATAAATCAAAATTTAAATACCCATAACTATATTTAATAATATTCACTCTATCCTTTTAAAAATTAAATTATCATTGATATATTGAATCAAGGCCATCCAACCCCAAACCTATTGATACTCCGCAATACATTATTACAATGAACTAACAAATAATATTATAGAAATATAATATCAAAATCTTTGAACTATAGAGATATAGAAAGAAGAAAAATAAAAAAAAAAAAAACAAAAAAACAAAAAAATAAAAAAACCGATGGTATTGAAATATATCATCAAAAACAATAATCTGGGGTTGGAATTTGATACCTTGATTTTTAATTCAATTTGATCTTCTTGGTGATATTAATATCAAATTATAAGGCACAATTATAGTATTTGTTTTATATTATATTTACTTTTAATTAATTTAAAACATTTTACTGATTAATTTAAAGCATTTGCTTTTAATTATCTTTTTAAAAAAAAAAAAAAAAAAAAAAATTTATATTATAACCTTGAATAAATTAAAATAAGAAATATAGGGATTGTATTAAAAGTTTTTTATTATTTTTTTTAATCACTCATAAGTTTGATAGTTATAGGATCAGTGGATTTGGATGTAGATTTAACTATTTTATATATTAATAATATAAAATAATTTAAAATTGAAATACCAATGCCAATTGTATTGGAAATATAGATTGGTTGGTTTGATAGAGACGACTTTAGTACGGTTTTGCATAGTTTTAGAGAGGGGTTTGGATCATCCATACAATCTTTATACGGCTCGGAATAACCACAACAACCTAAAATTGATTGATACTTTTGAATATTTTTTAAATTGTAAAATGAATTGTTTTGATTTTGACTTTGGTTTTGTATATGATTATTCCATTGGACAGGATCAATAGATTCTATGATTTTTGTACCATTGTTATTTTCATAGAGGAGCATTTTTACATCTAAAAATAGTAAAAAACAATCCAATATAGAAAATATAATTACCATTCTAATTAATAATGTTTCTACATTTATATTTTTTTTTACAAATGCTTCTATTAAATGTAAAATAAACACCAAATGATAAAATATAGTAATACATGAAATTAAAAGAGTTAATATAAAAAAAACTTTAATATAGCCATCATTATTACTATCAAAATATATTAGTTTATGGTATGATAGCAATGGTTTGAGTACATAAAATACCATAAAAATTTTATAAATCTAAATATAAAAAAAAACATATGAAATTTAATTAGCAAGCCCAGAATATAATATTTTTTATAATAAAGGTAATACCCACTAAACAAAATAACCATACTGTAATAAAAAATATAATAGCTGTGGGAATACTTTTTGGTTTTTCCTTTTTCATTATTATTTTTAAAAAACTTTCCTTTTACCCTATTATATATAGTTTTGAAAATTAATCATATGTTTTCCCAAAAAAAAAAAAAAAAAAAAAAAAAAAAAAAAAAAAAAAAAAAAAAAATAGAAACCCCCACCCCACACTAAATATTATTTATTTAATAAAATAAATAACATTATCTAAACACCATAATTATAAAAAAATACTAAAATAAAAAAAAAAACTTAAATAAATAAATTTCCTTTTAAAAAGATATTTTATATGAATTTTTTTATAATAAAAAATTAATATCTTTTTATTTTTTTTTTTGTTTTATTTTTTTTTATTTTATTTTTTTAAATTTATTATTTTTTAATTTATTTTTTATTTTTTTTAATTTTTAATTATTTAAATATAATGGATAATAATAATGACAGCAATAATTTAATAATTTATAATTTATATAAAAAAGTTTTTTCAAATATTTATTTATCAACTCGAATATTTAAATATGTCAAAAAGCTAAATTTTAATCATTTTTTAAAAAATCTTTTAAAACTTTTTCCTAAAACTGCTGTAAATGATAAAAAAGCATTAAAAGAAAGATTCAAGTCATCTTTCTATCAACTAGATACAATACCATTTTCAAAGATTATTGAATTTAAACTAGGCAATGTTTTCAGAGATAGGTTAAAGGCTAAAACAATTAATTTTATTGGTATTTCCCCAGAGTTTAGTTTTGATCAATTTTCATCATTTATTGAAGCATCAAAAATAACAAAAAAAGAACAAGAAGAGTTTTACAATTTAAATAATTATTTTTATAAAAGTAAAAATAAAAAAACCTTTTTAAAAGATATTGACAAGTTTGACCTATTCGAATCATTGGTTCATTATAATTTTTTAACCCTATTAGAGCTCATTTACAATGATCATAAAGAAAATATAGAAACAGAAAGACAGTACTATAACAGAATCCAAAAAGAAAGAGCAGAGGACCCAACCTTTAAACCAAGCTATGGTCATAGAGATATTACCCCTGCCGATCAAGGATATCAAGCCAATGTCAAATCACCATTTTTTATATTTTTCAATAAACCTCTAATTATGGCCGCTTTCCAAAAAAGCTCTGTAGAAGTTTTAAGATTTTTAAATAAAATAGGAGTGGACTTTTATCAATGCGAAAAAAATCTATTGTTTTGGGCAATTAAAAGTAACAATCCAAATAGAAAGGTTGAGTACCTTTTGGACGAACTAAACTATTGTGTACCGACTCTCTATAGTGGTGTCTATGATGGGTTTTACAGAAATCTTTTAAAACTTGACTATAAAAATTACAAAAGACTTCACAAAATGGGTTCACCTCTTTTATTCTCATTTTCATCATATGATTATTCAAATTATAGCAGAGCAGATTTTAAATTCAAATTAAACTTGACTAAACTGGGTCTTCATTCTCATGCCATTTATTATAAATCAGAAGAGTTAATGCTTGCTTTAAAACTGGTAAATCAACTTATAAAATATGACAATAATAAAACTGAAGAGAATAAAATTACACCTCAATTAATTCAAATAATTAAATATAAAATAAAAAATAAATATAGCTTTAATCATTCACAGCAACAACAACAACAACAACAACAACAACAACAACAACAGCAACAACAACAACAACTACAAACATATTTACATGGTTTATATAATACGATAGGCAGTTTCTTTATTACCAAAAATTATAAACATGAAGAAAACAACAATAGTAATGATGATATCAATATAATAACAGATGGATTTATTAATGGCAATTTAAAAGAATTATTAGAAATAGACTATGACAATTTCAATTTGGAAAGAGAAATTGAAAGAATTTTCTTTCTTAGGCTCTTCAATCGAAAACCATTTTGCAATGACGACTTCATTTCAGGTTATGTAAACTTCTTAGCAAGGTACAAAGAATACAAATCAGTATTAATATTACTCAGTTTAACACCAACACATCGTGAAAATATAGTAAAAGAAATATATCTTAGCATCCTCAAAACCGATTCGACTGATTTTTATGCTTATGCAGCAGATAATAAAATTTTATGTACACTTACAAACGACATGCTTTACACTTTTTCCTCACCATTTTGCTACTTTGATCCAATAAAAATAGAATTTTATTTAGAAACTCTATTGATTCTCAAAATTCACCAAGATAATTATTATAAAAAATTTATTTCATTTTTATTGGAGAGCAATTCAGTGGGAAAGAAATTTTTACAAACAATTATAAAACCAATTAAACAATTCAATGAAAAAAAGTCAATAACAAGATTTTCAGGAGCAGATTTAACTTTAGAATTAATCAATGCATATCTTTTAAAAAATAGAAACAGTTCTTTAGAAATTAAAACCCTAAAATTAAAAATAGAATCACAAGGGGATGATATCGACTCTTATATAGATTATCTTTTAAAAATAAATATATAAAAAATTAATAAATATTTAAAAAACTGTTAGATATCTCGGATACTAACATATTATTAATAATTAATAACGTTCGAAAAAATTACAAATTTTTATGTCGGTAAAAACCGAGCAAGCTTTTCTCATAATAATTTTATAATTAAGCATAATAAAAAAAAAAAAAAAAAAAAAAAAGTGTAATCTTATTTAAAGGTTTAAAAATATTATTGAGTGTTTCTCTCTTTATTATTTTAGTTGATTCTTATTATGCTTAATTAATAGTTTTATACAAGGTTTTTTTAATAATTATATTTAGTTTAATTTATTCGATAGCTAGTTTTAGGTATGAAGGTTTATAATTTATATGTTTAATCTTTAGTATCATATATATAGAAGTACTTGAAGATTATTACAAAAACTCCCTCACATTTTTTCTATAATATTTAATAATTTTTTTATTTTTTTATTTTTTTTATTTTTTTTATTTTTTTTATTTATTTATTTATTACTTTTTACAATTTACTGTCAAACTAAAAAAAAATTACTGTCAAATTAAAATTAAATTATTAGAAATAATATTAATAATAGTATCAATAAAAAAAGATTTACAATCACCCTGGTGGTGAATTTAATTTTTTCCAATTTTATTTATGATGTTTTCAAACTTATTTATTTATTAAATAATACAACCACCAAAACACATAAAAATTAGAAACACACCAATATAACCACCTTTTATTTTTTATTTTTTATTTTTTATTTTTTATTTTTTATTTTTTATTTTTTATTTTTTATTTTTTATTTTTTATTATTTTAATTATTATTTAAATATAAAGGGAAATAGAATTAACAACACACCTGTATCTATGATCATAAATAAAAGTAATTTAAATTAAATAAATTTATATATCCTAAAAAAGGTTTTAGTGTTTTATTTTTTTTATTTTTTTTTATTTTTTTTTTTTGGTGCATGTTTGGGGGTTATAATATCATATGTTTTTTGACTATTTGATAGTATTGGATCTGTTTTTGTTGTGTGGGTATGTGTGTTATTATTATTAAAAATAGTAAATCTGTTATTATTAGAAAATTATTTTTTTTATTTTCAATTTAATTTTATTTTAATTTAATTTTTTTGTTTTTATTTATTTATTATTTATTATCATAAAAAAAAAATTATAAATTCATTTTATTCATTATATTTTGTTATAAATATATTATAATATAAATTATAATAAAAAAAATGAAATATTTAATAGTATTTATTATTTGTTTTTCTCTATTGCTTTTAAGAGGAGATGCATTCTCACATTTTGAAACAATAGATGACAGCGCATATACAACCGATGAAGGTTTTGAACACCATCATTGCTGGCACAAAGGATTTGACGGTTATAATACAGGTATGTATTATTAAAGTAATCTATTTATTTTTAAAAAAATATATTAAAAAAAAAATTTATTTTAAAAATTTTAGAATTTGCTCTTTCTAGTTTTAATACTTACTATCCAACACCAAAAGGAATTATACCAGCCTCTTTTTATGAAGGTGGTGTAATTGATGTTAGTCTAAAAAAACAAATGATGTATGTACATTTTGGAGTTGTTGCTAAAAAAGAAGATGGTAGTAGTCTTGTATTTGCAGGAAGATTATATACCTATGGTGAAAATGTAAGTTTTTAATTCATTTATCTGTATTTCATAAATAAAATAAACAATTTTTTAATTATTATTTACATTAGTCTACACAATATGTTATAATGAATGGTTCATCAACATGCTATGCTATGCCTCTTCAATATCCATTCCCAAAGGAGTGGCCAAAAGTAAAAAAAGTAGGCTCCACAGTATTAGGTGATGTAGAAGTAGATGTTATTATAATGAAAAATAATAATATGACAGGATATAATATGACTAGACAATGCTCTTTAATTAGAAAAGGCTCATGTGCACCATTGTCATCAAATATTGGAAATGCAGATAAAAATGAATTAGGTTTTTCATTAATGAATTTCTACCGTTATGAAGGCAAACCCAACTTAACAAAGATTCAATTACCACAAGAATGTTATGGTGTAACCCCATCCGATGAAGTATTCCAACCAACTCAATTCGATGATGATGATGAACTATCGTTCTTTGCCAATCAAGAAGATGAACAATTTGAAGAAACTGATGATGTAACCAACCAAGATGAGCCACAAGAACAAACATTTGGAATTCACAAAAATCTTGACATTAATAATAATAACCATCACAATAGACACCATCGTCCACACCCACATCATCGTCGTCCACATGGTCACCCACACGGTCACCCACACGGTCGTCATCCACACCATGGACACCACCCATACCATCCACACCACATTACTAAAGATGGGGAATTTATTTATTATCCACATGCTGCTGATCTTGTTTTAATTCATTAAACTCAATTAATATCCCAAATAATAAATAGTATATATAAATAAAATATCTCTTTATCTTATAATTATATCTAGATAATCATATTATATTTCAATTAATAATATTATTATAAATAAAAAAATAAAAATACAAAAAAATATATATAAAAAAAAATATTAACATTGACATAGAAACCATACTTTTTTACATGTTTTTTTGGTAGTATTAGTTATACTACTACTTTTAAATTTAACGACAAAAAAAATATTACTTGGTGGGTATACAAAAAAAATGAAAAAATTAAAGTGGGGTTTTATTTTTAGATTATTTTACCATATATTCTCATATTAAGATATGTAAAAAGAATTTAAATCTAATTTAGTACCAAAAATTACAAAAAATATTGTTAATTATTTTTTTTATAAATATTATTATTTTTTTTATTTTTTTTATTTTTATTTTTGTTTAATCTGTGTATTTTATTTTTTTTTAAAAAGGAAAAAGGCAATATATGGTATTTTAAAATTAGATATTAACATAATTGATAACACCATAAAATAATTAATTTAGAATTATAAATAAAAAAAAAAAAATAAAAAAAAAATAAAAAAAAATAAAAAAAAATAAAAAAAATAAAAAAAATAAAAAAATATATATTTTAAATATTTATTTATTTCATTTTTAGAAATCAAAGAAATTTCATTATTATTCTATTTTATGGGTTCGGGAACCTGGTATAAATATAGAATTTAATTGTATAAAATAAATAAATTAAAATAAAATTAAAAAAATTATAAATAAAAATATTTTTTGTGTATTAAAAAAAAAATAAAAAAAAATAACTCTAACCGATTATATAAAAAACCAAAAAAAAAAAAAAAAATCATTTTATATAAACGAATAAACAGAATAAACAAATATCAATAAACAGTAAATATATATTTTAACAAATAATTAAAAATGATACAAGAGTAACTATATTTATAAATAATAAAAATAATAAAAATATGTAATTTAAAAAAATAAATATTTATTAATTTTATTAATAATTATAATTATTATAATAATAGAAAAAATGAAACCTTATTTTGGAAGGTGTTTAGAAATATTTATTTAAATAATTTAATATTTTCAAATTTGTATAATAGTGAAATATATGTTGATGCCATCAATATGAAGGTTGTACCAGAGATACCAAGACATTTAAACAATATAAAGTTTAGCACATCCAGTGGTTATTGCAATTGGTTTATAAAGAATTTAATATTTAATGACCAAAGTACCGACTCAAATATTAAACTAAAGAAACTTATCAAAGATGATGGATTACATAATTTTAATTTTCTCTCAAAGTTTAGAATTGATTCAATTACTTTCGACAATAGTATGGAAATAGAAACTTTAACTAGACTAGAAGACGACGGTGTCACTGAATATCAAGTTGAAGAATGGTTGCCAGTCCAACATATTAAAGAAATAGAATTAAGTGCATCAAATAACAAACCAATTGAAAAAAACCAATTACCAGGATATACCAAATCTATTAATTTAATCACGCATACCCAACCCGAAAACATTCCATCATCTGTTAGAAATTTAAAAATTAGAGAATTTGATGAAGATCTCACCCAAGAAAAGATACCCAGCAATATATCCTCTTTACATTTAGGTGAATATTATGACAAACCAATTACTGCCTCAATGATACCACCTAACATTACACACTTGAACCTAGGATGGCGTTTCTCTGCTGATCTATCTGAAGAAATGCTACCAGCAACAGTTAAATCTCTAGTTTTAGGTGAAACCTTTAATACCCCATTCAAGAAAAATAGCATTCCCAATTCATTAAAAATATTAGAGGTAGGTGCAAACTTTTCCGAGTTTCAATCACTAATTCATTTACCAGAATCAATTGAAACATTTATATTTGGTGATAATTTTAATAGAAGTTTAGAAAGCAATTTTAAATTACCCAAAACTATAAAAACTTTAATCTTTGGTAAACAATTTAATCACCCAATTCCAAACGGTATATTAGAAAATGAAGATGGTCTAGAAACTTTAAAACTTGGCAGTTCTTTTGCACAACCTTTGACAATAGACAACGTACCATCAAGTGTAAAACATTTAGAAGCCCCCAATAGAGCCCAGCAATATGTCTCTGAAGAAATTTTCAACAAATATTATTCATTAAAAGCATGTTTGGATAACAAAGATCCATCAAAAAAAGGTCATTTAGAAATAGGGGATGCTCATAAAAAATATCTTTTTGACAAAGGCTTAAAACTTGTAATCCCACCATCTATCAACAGTCTTACACTACACAATGATGCATTTTTAAAGAAACATAATATTCCAAGATCAATTAAATATTTAACTTTTGGTTCAGATTTTATAAATACAGATAATTTAACTCAGGAAATTGATGGCGCAAATATTCAAGAACCTCAAGCAGCCGCCAATGCAATTTCAAATTTTGATAAAAGATTTTTCATTAGAGCCAGAGATATCCCAAAAACCACCACCCACATTTCTATTAACTCCCCCCATATAGTTTTAGATTTTATACCATCCCATATCACCCATTTCAAAACTTCAAAAAATTATTTCCAACAAATCAATATTTTAAAAAATAATAATAATTTAAAATCTTTAAAAATTAAATTATTAAATTTAAATTATATAATTCATGATGAATTAAGACCATTACAAAAATAATATATAAATAATAAATAATTTAAACAATAATTATTTCCCAACCATTTCATCTTTTTTTTTATTTTTTTTTTGATTATCAAAAATATCTTTTTTTTTTAAAAGAAAAATATTGGAAAAAAACTCTATTTTTGTTTTTTTAAATAATTTTTTAATTTTTTTTTCTTTTTTTTTTTTTATAAATTAAATTTTTTCTCATTTTAACTTTTTTTTTTTTTTTTTCTTTCCCATTGAATAAATATTTAATTTTATCTGTATATATAGTTATAATATAATTTAATATTATCTATAGTTTATCAATTATTTATAAATATATACACTTCAATTTCATTGAAAAAAAATTAAATATTACATAATTCAAAAATTGTAAATTAATATTTTTTAGTTGTTTAGTTTTTATTTTCACAAGTTTTTTTTTTATTATTATTTCAAATGTCAAGTGTTTTAAGAGGCGGTCCAATTAGAGGCAGAGGTGGCAGAGGCGGCAGAGGTGGTAGGGGTGGTAGAACTCCACTTGAACGTCCAGGTGCAAGATCAGATGCTTCGCAATCTTCTAAAAAAACATTCAAACCCTTCAACAATAATAATAACAACGAAAACGAAAACGAAAACGAAAATGAAAGATCAAACAAAAAACAATCAACATTTTTAAGCGAATTAAAGAAATCACCAATTGCTTTGTTAGGTAGTGAAGAGCTTAGAGAATTAAAATTAAAGCTTATCAATATTGTATCAGCTTCATTAATCAAAGAACCAAGAGTTAATCATCTCACTCCAACATTGGAAACAATTATGTCATGTGTTTATACACTTTCATACTATGACCCAGAGTTTGTTTTAAAACTCATCCTTTACACTCGTGATGAATTGGGTATTCGTACTGTAGCAAACTATATGATTTGTTTAGCATCACTCTTCCCAACAACTCAACCATTTTTAAAAAAGTATTTCAAACACTTAATTAGAATCCCATCTGATTGGTTAGAATTACCAACTATTCTTTCAAAATTAACAGAGTAAGTTTTATATATATATTATTTAAATTAATATTAATTGAATCATATACTAATATTTTTTTAATTTTATTTTATTTTTAGAACCAATAACATTCCAAAATCATTAAGAAATGTAATGGTTGAAAAATTCAAAGATTTTGATACCTATCAATTAGGAAAGTATAATACTGAAGGTAAAATTAAAAGAAAGAGAAAGAAGTTAAAGGAATTAATTAAAAGCAATCCAGACCAAAAGGATGATTTAATCAGCAAATCTCAAGCCAACCAAACTGCATCATTAAAGAACTTGATTAGAGTACTTCATATCTCTGAACCAGTATCTAGTGTCATGTCTATTCTTGGCAAGAAATATCCATTAACCTATGAAGAGTGGATTAAAAATAAACTTCCAGGTACCTTTGAACCAGAGCGTGCTGGTAAAAGAATGAAATTACCAGTCCCAGAAACTTGGGAGACCTTAGTATCAGCCAAAGGTAACAACTCTGCTACTTGGGAAGAATTAATGCAACACAATAAACTTCCATTCATGGCAATGTTAAGAAATCTTCGTAATATGATGATTACTGGTGTACCTGCTTCAGTCCATAAGCAAATTATTTCAAAATTAACCAATGAACAAACCATTGCAAATTCAAAACAATTTCCATTAAGATTTTTAGCTGCCTATGATGCAATTCCAAAGTAAGTTTTAAATTAAATGATTATATTTAATAATAAAAATATATATTAATATTATTTTATTTTATTTTTTATTTAGGGATGTTGAAGAATTAAAAACTTGGTCCACACAAAAGAAAACTAAAATTCAATATTATCCACCAGCAGATTTATTAAAAACTTACAGAGAAGCTTTAGACACTGCAGTTAAATTATCAACAATTCACAATGTTAAACCAATTCGTGGTAATACTGTCGTATTCTGCTATGTAACCAGTGATAGTAATAGCGAACAATGTAAATCAAATACCTCTGGTAAATACTCAATGTTAGAATCATCTATTCTTTTAAGTTTAATGTGCAAATATGTCTGTGAAGAATGTGACCTCTATTTGGTTGGTTATAAACCAGATGAATCAGAACAAACCTATTTCAAAGTTCAAGAACTCCAAAGTGATTCAATTTTAGAAAACATGAAATCTATTAAATCTATGATCTCAAGAGTTTTCATGGATCACAAGACCCTTAATCCTCCAGATTTCCCAACCAATGTTATCATTGACCAATTCCTTTTACCAAAAGCTAAAGTTGATAATATTTTAATTCTTAACCACAAAACTGTAGAATTAGATTCAGAACCAAGTAAAAGAAATATTTTAAGCAAATATCGTCAAGATGTTAATCCAGAATTATTATTTGTAAATATCAATTTATCTGGACAAGCTTCATTAAATGCCTCCGCATCCACAGAGTCTGAAAGACATCAAAACGATGTTTACATTAGTGGTTTCAGTGATTCAATTCTTAAATTTATTGCTGAGCGTGGTGGTACAGATCAACAACTTCAATATATTGAAAAGATTGATGAAATCAAAAAGATTCAAGATGTAAAGAAAACAAATCAAGCTGCTGCTTCTGTAGTTGCCACAACTGATGAAAAGAAAGAACAATCATCAGCATCAGCATCAGCATCATTATTAACTCAAAAAGAAAAACCATGGAGAAATGCTAAAGTTTTTATTTCATCTACTTTCTTGGATATGCAAGGTGAAAGAGATATGTTAGTTAAAAGAGTTTTCCCAGAACTCAGAGCCAAATGCTTAAAACATAGAATTCATCTCACTGAAGTTGATTTACGTTGGGGTATTACCGAAGAAGATGCTCAAAAGAATAGATCTGTCGATTTATGTTTAGATGAAGTCGATCGTTGTCGTCCATTTTTCATTGGTCTTTTAGGTGAACGTTATGGTTGGGTACCAAAAAAAGAACAAATCCCCAGCGATCCAAAATATGATTGGATTAGAGAACTTCCATCATTAAGATCAATGACAGAGTTAGAAATTCTTCATGCTTGTTTCAATAAAAACAAACCATCTTCAGCTCCATTAATCTATATTAGAGATCCATCATTCAACCAACAAGTACCAAAAGAATTCAAAGACCAATTCGATAGTGAAGATCGTAGTAGCGCTGAAAAATTAAATGCATTAAAACTTAAAATTGGAAAAGAAAATTCAGGTGCTAAATATTCCCACTATAGCGCCAGATGGGGTGGATTAAATGGTGATGGTAAGCCAGTAGCTGGTGATCTCTATGAATTATGTGAAAAGATTCAAAGTGATCTTTGGGAAACACTTGTAAGTACCTATAATCTCAGTACTGGAGGTAAGCCTGAGTGGTTGAATTGTTACAACGATTCAAACCAAGATGCTGAATTTGATCCATTCGAATACGAATTAAACCAACACCAAATCTATTCAGACTTAAAGTGCAAAAATTTCGTTGGCCGTAAAGATGAAATCAATTCACTTTTCAAATTCTGTGACATTACACGTCCTTTCCTTTCAAGTCGTGTATCTAAACTCCAATTCAATAAATCAAATACCCTCCTTGTTACCGGTAAACCAGGTTGTGGTAAATCAGCTCTTGTCTCATACTTTACCAATAAAGCCTTACCAGAGTTCTACCAAAAGAACAAACAAAGCAAACACATTATCATCTCACACTATATTGGTTCCACCAGTGACTCAATCGATATTAGAAAGACCTTAACAATGATTTGTAATCAAACTAACATCAAACTAGGTCTTGGTGAAAACTTTAATGCCAACATAGAGATCTCTGAATTAAAGATTACATTTGCACAATTCTTAAAGAAAGCAGCATTAAAAGCCTCACAAAACTCTCAAAAGGTATTATTACTTATCGATGGTCTCGATCAATTAGATAAAAAGAACCGTGCCCATACTTTAGATTGGTTACCAATTGCATCACCAATTAAAATCATCATTTCAACTCTTGATGGTGATCATACACTCAGTGTTCTTCGTCGTAGAAAGACCCCACCAACCGAAATCTCAATTGCTCCAATGGAAATGAAAGATCGTCATTTATTGGTTAAATCCAAATTTGATGACTTTAGAAAGAAACTCGATGAATCTGCTGGTAATAATCAAATGTCATTACTTTTAAACAAGTCTGATGCCAACAATCCACTTTATTTAGTATTAGCTTGTGAAGAGCTCCGTTACTTTGGTCAATTCGAAAATCTTACTGACAAGATTAAAGGTTTAGCTCCTACTCTTACCAAACTCTTTGATGACATTTTGGATCGTCTTGAATCTGAATTTGGAAAACAATTAATCGCTACTATTTTAGGTTCAATCGCTTGCTCCCGTATTCCACTCTTTGAAGATGATTTACTTCAAATCTTAGCCAGACCCGAAGTTAAAGGTGAAGTACAATTCCCAATTGCATTATGGTCAAGAATCTATCGTGGTATTTCATCATTATTAGTCGAATCATTCGAAGATAAAGAATCCAACTCAATCGACAGAGGTTTAGAATTTTTCCACAATCAACTTAAATTAGCCGTATTCAAGAGATACCACTCTCTCAGCGATTCCTCAACTCGTATCCATAAGTTATTAGCAAACTACTACTTGACAAAAGCAGACCCAGAAGCAGATAAACATTGGAATGGCTCCGAAGCTTTAGCATTCTCTGAATTACCATATCATTTAACTAAAGCAAGACTTTTCAATCAATTAGAAGATACCCTTTGCAACATCAAATTTGTTGAAAAGAAATGTAGATTTGGACTTACTTTTGAATTGATTTCCGATTACCTCGAAATTACTGGTGATGATTTACCAGAAAAAGAAAAGAACAGTTTAAACGCCCCATCTCGTTTAATTAAAAACAAAGATCTTCTCGAACACATTAAAGATTTTTGTGATTTTGTTTCTTCCAACACCCATATTTTATCAAAGTCACCAGAACTTACTTTCCAACAAGCCTACAACCAACCAAATACCTCCTATTGTCATAAAGTTGCTTCACAAAATATTTTCTCATCCTCAAGCTGGATCGAATGGGTCAATAAACCACAACACAAAGATAATTGTAAACAAACCATCACTGGTTTAGAAAATGGTGCTACTGCTGTCGCATATAGTCGTGATGGTAGTTTAATTGCATCTGCTGGTAAAGATTCAATTATTCATATTTATAAAGCATCAAATGGTTCTGAAGTTTTAACTTTAGTTGGTCATTCAAACTGGATATCATGCTTCTCGTTCAGTGATGATAACAAGACCTTAGCCTCCTCCTCATGGGATGAAACTGTTATCATTTGGGATCTTGTTGTCGGTAATCAAATTCATCAATTCAAAGACCATAAACGTGCTGTTAATTATTTAGAATTCTCACCAACCAATAACAACTTATTAATGTCATGTGCATGGGACAGCTCAATTATCATTTTCAATACCTATGATAAAAATATCTTTAGAATCTTTAGATCTGCTCATTCTAAACCAGTCAATAGTTGCAGCTGGTCACCAGATGGTTCAATGATTGCTTCATCTGCATGGGATGGCACTGTTAAAATTTGGAACCCACATGATACAATCGCTAAAAATCGTTTGCTTCATGTTATTGATCAATCTCTTGTTTATGGTTCAATTAAATCATGTAAATTCTCTTCAAATTCTAAACAAATCTATGCCACAACTATGAAGAACGATGTTTTGCTATTCGACATACAATCACAAAAATTAGTATCAATTCTTGGTAGTCACTCCAAATCAGTAAACCACTGTGCTTTATCCAAAGATGGTAACTATCTTATCACTGGTTCAGATGATGCTACAATTAAAGTATGGTCCTCACAATTAGGTAAAGAACTTTCAAGCCATCATCTTTCAAATGATTTCTGGGCTAATTGTATGGCATTCCATCCAACTAAACCAATTTTAGCTGTTGGTGCTACCGACTGTACTGTTAGACTCTATGATGTATCAAGTAATACTATATATCGTGAAATCGCCAAATTCCATGGTCATACTCGTTCCATTACAAGCATCAGCTTCTCTATTAGTGGTAATTTAATTGCCTCAACATCTGAAGATCTTTCTATCAAAGTTTGGAATATCGAGTCACAAAAAGCTGAATATGCTATCGAAAAAGCCCACAATGACCCAATTAACTGTGTAGCATTTAGTCCAAAGAATGAACATCTATTAATCTCATGCTCTGACGATTATAGCACCAAAGTATGGTTAAGAGGAAACCCTGTCGTTACACTCTCAACTGAAGGCTCAACCAATACCATTAAACACTGTACCTTCTCGCCAGATGGAAAATACATTGCAACAGTATCCCGTGATTGCACAATCGGACTTTATTTAGCAGAAAGCTATAAACTTTTAAATAGACTCAGAGGTCATACCGATTGGATCAACTTTTGCACTTTCTCACCAGATTCAAAGAAATTAGTCTCTGGTGGCTGGGATTTCAATATTCGTGTATGGAACGTCAGAACTCAAAAAGAAACCTTATGTCTTAAAGGTCATACTAGCTCCATCGAAAAAGCTTTCTTTACCGCAGATCAAAAGTATATTATCAGTTGCAGCTTTGATGGCTCTGTTAGAGTTTGGGATTCTGAATTTGGTAGTGAAATTACAACACTCCACCATGCATCTCGTATCAGCGATGTTGTTGATTCAAAGGACAATTCTGGTAGAATCTTTTCTTCCTCCGATGATGGTATCATTAAATCATGGTACCCAGTATCTGGTTCATGTTTAGCTACATTTGCTGGTCATTCTGGTGCCGTTAATATGGTTGATATTAAACCATCAAGCAGTGGCTCAGGTTTTGGTGGTTTCTCCTCATTCTCATCATCAAGCAAATCAGACAGTGCTCAATCCTTGTCATTTGCATCTGCCTCAAGCGATGGTACAGTTAAACTTTGGGAATTTAACTCTTCTAAAAATCTTTTATCTGCCCACAAAGGTCCAATCAATAAATGTGTATTTTCAAAGTGCGGTAACTATATTGCATCAGCTGGTCAAGACTCTGTATTAAATATTTGGGACTCCACAACCCTTGTAAATCTTAGAACCTTAATTTTAGACTCACCAGTTACTGCATGCACTTTTGATCCACAAGGCCTATTATTTATTGGTTTACAAAATGGTACCTTTAATATATATAATAAAACATGGGACTCAGTTATTCATTCAGGTTTTTCAGAAAGTAAGATTTCATATGCATCATCAAGTGTAGCTAATATTTTTGCATTCTCAACTTGGGAAAATGTAGTTTTCATTGTCAATTTGGAAACCAAATCCAAAACACCATTAATGGAATTCGAGGATTGGGTAGAGGTTGTAGAATTTTCAAGTAAAGGTAGTGTTTCAGCTGCAGGAACAAGAACAAAGGATTTAGCAGTTTTTGATCCACAATCAGGAAAACATTCATACAAAAACGCCTCTAGCTATACTACCTCGCTTTCATTCTCACCAAATGAAACCCAATTAGCCATAGGTTCATTTGATGGCTCTGTACAACTCTTAAACTCTGAAACAGAAAAATTTGTTAGAATTCTCACCGCCCAAACTTCATCAATTACTGGTTTAAGATTTTTAGATTCAGACCGTCTCGTTTCAGTATCAAGCGATCGTTCATTAGTAGTATGGAATTTCAAACTCTCTGCCATTGAAAATGAATTCATTCATAATTCACCAATCACCTCATTGGATATCCACCAAAATAATATTATCACATCCGATACAAATGGTAATATTTATTTCTTAAAATATCATAAAAAAAATTAAATTTAATTTTATGATATTGTATCAAATAAAATAAAATAAAATAAAATAAAATAAAATAAAAATAAAATAAATAAAAATTATTTAAAATATAAACCTAATATTTATTTAAAAAAAAATGAAACATTTATTTAGTTTGAGGTTGATAAGTTTGTGTATAATAATATACTGGTTGTTGTGGTTGTTGTGGTTGTTGGTAATTTTGACCTGGATATAAATAAGGTTGTGGGGTATATTGAGCAACTGGATTATTATTTATTAATTTTGGTTGGGAAATATATAATTCTCTTTTTTGTAAATCTTTTAATAATAAAAATAATGAAACTAAATAACGAATTCCGAAGATTTGAAGATTTAGTGAAAGCAATCCGCTAATAAATAACCACCATGGATAATCCATTGACATTACAACTGCTGATAATATGAAGACTGCTAGAGTACATCCTAAAATAATTACTGCATAAATAGTATACTAAAAAAAAATAAAAAAGTGTTAATACTATGAAATTCTTTTAATTTATTTGTATTTTATAATTACATTGATAATTAAAACAATATGTTTTTTAGCAACTGCATATAATCCTAAACTAACACTGAAAATATGAGAGATAATTGCAACGGTTGTTAAAATAAAATAACTATTTTTATCACAAACTATATATAGGAATATTCCAATAAATAACTGAGTGAAACAAAGTATTTTTCCCCACATTGAATAATATTCCAAATTATCTTTTATTCTGTAATCTACTATTGAATACATTCCCTCGCCAATATCAATTGACGACTCCATTGGGTATGATCTTTCTTTAAATAATGGTGAATTTTCATTTAAAAGTGGTGATTCGACATTATTTTCATTTCTTTTACTTTTTTCATCCAATGAATAAGGTTTTGATGAATTTACCTCATTTTTTTTATTATTTGGATGATATGATTCTATTCTATCAGTTGTCATTATTTTACTCTAAACTATTAATAATTTAATAAAACTATTGTTTAAAAATTACAAAAATAAATAAATATTATGAATAAAAAAATAATAAAAAAATTTTATTTATTAAAAAAAAAAAAAAAAAGAAATATTTATTAGTTAAATTTTTTTTAATTTTAAAATATTAAAAAACTACATATTCACCAATATGTGTGAGGAGAGTGCATTCATGCCACCAGTGGAATAAAGGTGAAAATTATTTATAAATGAACTTACTTTTTTAAAAAATTAAAACTATTGTTTTTTATTAAAGTTATTGGGTATTAAATAAATCTATTTGGGACGATAACAATTTAATAATTAAAATATTATGTATTAATAAAAGTGGTTTATAATTATTATATTAATTATTGTTGGTTTTTTAATACAGATATTATTGATTTTAAAAACACAAGAATTTAAAAAATATTTTTATTATTATTATTATAACTTCTGCTGTATTATAATATTCTTTTTTTTTTTATTTATTCTTTCTTCCACAATTTTAATATTTTAAAATTGAAAAAAAAAAATTTTAATTTAAAATTTTTTATTTTAAAATTAAAATTAAAATAAAAAATAAAATTAAAAAAGATAAAAAAAGAAATTAATTTTAAATCTAAAATAATATAAAAAATTTGTGAAGGAATTTTTATTAAAAAAAAACAATTGTAAATATGGTGTGGTGTGGTATTTATTTATAAAACCAATACTTAACCCCTCATATTTTTTAGTTTTGGTTGTAAAAATTTTAAATCGGTATAAATTATTAATATTTTAATTTTGAAAATAAATTTAAAAAAAAAGGGTGGGAAAAATGAATTAATTCATTAATTTGATCAATTTGGCAAAATCCATTAAAATAAAAAAAAAAAAATAAAAAAATAAAAAAAAGATTTTATTATATCATTTTTTCTTATTTTTTTATAACTAATAGTTAGGTGTTTATTTTTATTTTTATTTAATTTTTAATTTTATAAAAAAAAAATTAAAAAAAACGAAAAAAAAAAAAAAAAAAAAAACGAAAAATTTTTTTTATTTAATTTTTTAAAATTTTGCGACCATTAATTTATTTTATCATTTGTATACAAATAGTATTTATAAATATTGTAATAATGATAGGACTTTGTAGTTTTAGAAAGGTAATTCAATAAACACACATTATTATCAAACAAAATAGCAAAATTAAAATAACAAAAACACAATCATAACTATACAATCATAATTATACTAATTCTTTTTATCATTATCATTATTTTTAAATAGTTTTTTTCGCATTCAATAAAGAGCACAATTAATGTAGCAAAGTATAGTACATTTAGAAATACATTATCAAATAATGCCTCCTTTAATAAAGCAGGACAACAACAAAGAAGATTTCAAGAGGTAGTATTTGGGGGTGCCTTTGAATCTTTTGGTGTCACAAATCAAAATAATAAACCACAAATCGATAGAAACCAAACTGTACAGTCCGAGGATAATGAGTATGATACAGGTTTTTTACCACAAATTAAAAAAGAAATCTTACCTTTACCAACCGAAAATTCACAAAAAACATTAGAATTCATGGCAGAACATGAAGTATCATTAAAATCAAAACAAGCAATCCTTCCAGACCCAATTATTACATTAGATGATGTTCCATTCAACAATAGAACAAAAGCAGAGTTATTAAAAAGATTTGAAGAACCAACACCAGTTCAAAGTTTAGGTTGGCCAATTGCATTATCAGGTAGAGATCTTTTAGCAGTTTCAAAAACCGGTTCAGGTAAAACATTATCATTCATCTTACCAGCCATCCAACATATTTTAGAACAACCACGTCAATCTGCTTACCATGGACCAAATGTACTTGTTGTAGCACCAACTCGTGAACTTGCATGTCAAATTGCAGAGGAATCACGTGAATTTCTTATTGCCAATAGAATTAATAAAGCACTCCTTTATGGTGGTGAACCAAAATCTAGTCAAGCTTATCAAATTAGAAACCAACCAAAGATTATTATTGGTACACCAGGTAGAATTTTAGATTTCTATGATAGTGGATCACTTCAACTCAAAAATGTTTCATACATGGTCATTGATGAAGCCGATCGTCTTTTAGAAATGGGTTTCGGTGAAGATATGGAAAAATTATTCAGTTCAATTCGTCCAGATCGTCAAGTTCTCTATTGGTCTGCTACATGGCCAAAAAAAGTTTCACAATTAGCCGATAAATACATTAAAGATCCAATCCACCTTCAAATTGGCTCAAGTGCACTCTCAGCAAATAAAAATATAACACAAAATTTTTCAATTGTAGAAAGAGAAGCCGATAAGGTAGAGAAGCTTTTAGAAACCCTTGAACAAATTTATAACAACAACGAGAATGCCCGTACTCTTATTTTTACAATGACTAAAAAGGGCGCAGAAACTCTTTCAGACTTTTTGGGTAAAAATGGTGACGTTAGAATTGGCTGTCTTCATGGTGACAAACCTCAACAAACCCGTTCAAATATTGTAAATAGATTCAAAGAAGGTAAATTGGATATGGTAATTGCAACTGATATCGCATCAAGAGGTTTAGACATTAAACATATTACCGATGTTATTAATTTTTCATTACCACCAAACTGTGAAACCTATGTTCATCGTATTGGTCGTACTGCTAGAGCCGGTGCCTCTGGTACATCACATTCAATTTTATCAAGAGAATCAATTAACGACGTCGAATTGATTGGTGATTTAATAGATTTATTAAAACTCTCCGATCAACAAATACCTGAAGACTTTTTAGAATTTAAAAAAAATAATAAAAATAGCTATGGAAACAATAACAGAAGAAATAATAATAATAATAATAGAGGCTATGGAAGAAGCAATAACAGAAACAATAACAGAAACAACAATAGAAACAACAATAGAGGCAACAACAATAGAAACAGAAAAGAATATTAAAAAATTTAGATTTTTTTTTTTTTAAATTTTTTCAAGTGCATATAAAAATTAAAAGTTATATTTAAATACATACATATGACATTGGCAATAAAAATAATAATAATAAATAAAATAGTTAATTAATATATGTCTCTTTAATTTAATAAATGTGTAAATATCTTCGAATACTAATTTGGGGGTAGTATTCTATTTTTATTTATTTGTTTTTTTTTTTTTTTTATATTTTAAAAATTAAATCAAAATCATTAATTATTATTTCCTATTTTCTCTCTTTTTAATTATTTTTTTAATCTATAACAAAAAATATCTTTTGTATTATATTGAAGTTGTTTATCTTGGATGTATTTTTAGAGCACCCCAAAATTAACAACCCCTAATTCTTTTTAAAAACAAAATCAGAAAAAATAATTATCAGAAAAATTTTTTTATTTTTTTTTTTATTTTTTCCAAAATTTTTTAAATTTTTTTTTTTATTTAAAAAGGTGTAAATTATTTTTTCATTTATTTAATTATTTTAATATTAGTTTTATTTTAAATTATTTATTTGATATCAATTTCATATTAACACACAAATACAATAACACACACCACTCACACTCTAAATATTTTTTTATTTATTTTTTTTTATTGTATTAATATCAAAACACACTCACACATAAAATTAATTATATCCTTAAAATAAACACATATACACAAAATGTAAGATTTTTGTATTAAAAAAAAATTTTAAAAAAAATTTTAAAAAAAAATTTTAAATTTTTTTTTTTTTTTTTATTTTTTTTAAAATTTTTTTTTAAAATTTTTTTAAAAAAATCTTTCTCTTTTTTTTTAAATTTTTTATTTTTTGATTGTTTCACATACTAAATTATTTATTTTTATACATAGCCTTTAGACACAACTCAATATTATTTATTACTTTTTTTAATAAGAACTCTATAAAAAGAAAAATGTCAGTTTCAAACGAATATAAATTAGTTGTTATGGGTGGGGGGGGTGTTGGGTAATTATTTTTCTTTTTTCTTTTTTCCCTTTTCTTTTTTCTTTTTTCTTTTCTTTTTTTTTTTTTAATGGTAATAAATATAGCAATATTTTATTATCAACAATATTAAATAATTGAAAAAAATAAATAAAAGAAATAAAAAATATTTATCAAGAAAACTAACTTTTTTTTTTTTTTTTTTATTAAATTTATATTTTATAGTAAATCTGCACTTGTAAGTATTTAAAATTATTTAATTTAAATTTATATAGATATAGTATTAATATTGTTTGTATTTTAGACCATTCAATTCATACAGAATCATTTTATTGAGGAATACGATCCAACTATCGAAGATTCATATCGTAGACAATGCCAAGTTGATGATGATACATGTCTTTTAGATATTTTAGATACAGCAGGTCAAGATGATTATAGTGCTATGAGTAAATAATCAAATTATATAAAAATAAAAATAATAGCAATAATAATAATAATAAATAACAATAATAATAATAATATTAATAATAATATTAATAATATATTATTTTTATAGGAGACCAATATATGCGTACAGGTCAAGGTTTCCTTTGTGTCTATGATGTCACCAGTAGAACCTCATTCGAAGAAATTAATGTTGTTAGAGAACAAATTATTAGGGTAAAGGATAACGATAAGGTTCCAATTGTTTTAGTTGGTAACAAGTGCGATTTAGAAAATCTTAGAGAAGTTACCCATGGTGAAGGTGAAGAATTAGCCAAATCATTTGGTTGTCCATTTTTAGAAACCTCAGCTAAAAAGAGATTAAATGTTGATGAATGTTTCTTTGAAGTTGTTAGAGAAATCAAGAAATCATTAAAAGAACCAGGAAGATCAAAAAAAGATAAAAAAGGAGTCTCAGGTGTTCTCAAGAAGTTTAAAGGTGACTGTATAATTTTATAAATTATACAAATATTTTATATTTATATAGGTGGGATTTTTTCTAGGTTTTAATATCCTTCCTCGTTCTTTACTAGTTTTTTCACCAGCAGCTTTTTTTACTAAAAAAAAAATTTGGCCAAAAAATCAAGTCACAGAAAACCCAAAATTAAAAAAAATCCAAAACCCAGACAACTTACAAAAAAAAAAAAAAAAAAAAAAATAACTCAATAATAACTGCCAACAACCATTAATACTATAACCATAATAGTAGTCGCGATAGTGCATCGTTGCTATCAATTGTACAGAACCCCATTTAATAATAATAACAAAAACAATAATAATAATCTTATCATAACAAACACCAAATAAATTGTATTTTTATTTTTTATTTTACCACCTTTTTTTTTGCACATAAATCTTGTGTTTTTCAAAAAAAAAAAAAAAACAACAAAAAATTATTTATTAAAATAAAAATTTAAATAAAATATTGGGATGTACCAAAAATAAAATAAAGATTTAAATTTTAAAATAAAATAAATCAAAACAGTAAAGTTTTGTATAATCATAAGGTATATTAATATTTTAAAGTATATACTTTAAAGGATATTTAATTGTTTTTTTAAAATTTAATAATTTTGTTTTGTTTTGTTTTGTTTTGTTTTGTTTTGTTTTGTTTTGTTTTTTTTTTTTTTTAATATTTTTATTGTTTTAAAAATATAGAAAATTATTTATTTCTTTATCATTCTTAAGACATATCTGATGTATTCTGGATTTTTTGGTAACCATCTATTTGATAAATATGAACACGAAAGTAAAACTTTTCCATTCCTATTGTGTGTAATATCATTAATTGTTTGGGTACTTAGAACATCAGCTACATTTCTACCTCTTTGGCTATGTTTATAAAGAAAATTAATATTATTATTATTTTTATAGGGTGTTATTATTATTTTTTTGTTATGTTTTAAAAAATAATTACCTATCTGGTACATATGTGTGATAGAGGTCATATTCGTTATTATTATAAATTTTATATTCAATTACAGCTTCTTCGCCATTTGGAAAAACCATTTGATATTTGTTTAATACCTCATTGTTAACGACTGGTGGTAATTCTGACATTGTTATATTGGCAAATATAGTTTTTTTTTTTTGTTATTTTTAATTAAAAAAAATTTAAAAAATTTAAAAAATTAAAAAAAAAATATTTTTTAAAAAATAAAAAAATTTAAAACAGATAACCAAAAAAGAAATAATAAAAAAGATATTTTGAAAAGTTAATTTTGAAAACGAATATATAGAAAAAATAAATTTTATTTTTTTTTTTATTTTTTTTTTGGACTGTACATTATTACAACCAATATTATTTAATTTAAAATGTTATTTGGTTGTTATTTTTGTATTTGTTGTTGTTTATAATTTTCTTTTGATTTCTTCTTTCTTTTGTCTGTAAAGTGAATTGTCGATGTAGGCATTATGTCTTTGATGTAAACCATAGTAACCACCAAGTGTAGCTAAACCAGCAATAAGAGAGAATCTAGCCATTGGTGATGCAGTTGGGAAGAAGAATGATGATGCAACTGTACCAGAGACACCACCAATACCAGCCCAAATAGCACCATTTCTCTTGTTTAATGTACCGAGATCTTTCTTGATAAAGTTGTATTCATTTTCGATGGCATTGGCAGATTCATCGAGGGTTTCACCAGCTTTCTTTTTGAGGAGGTTGGCTTTCTTGGTAGCATCAGTAGCGAGATCTTCATAGGTATCATATGCTTTGTTTTTGAATTGATTTGCTTTCTTTGAGGCATCTTTAGTAAAGTCTTCATAGGTATCATAGGCTTTGTTTTTGATATCAACGGCTTTCTTTGAGGCATCTTTGGAGAAATCTTCATATGTGTCAACTGCTTTATGTTTGATTTCTTCAGCTTTCTTTTTGGCATCTTCGCTAAATTTACTAAGGTCGTTCTTTAATTCAGATGTGTTCATTTCAATATCTTTTCTGGTATCAGCAGCCATTCTCTTGGTGTTTTTATGGACGTCACCAACTAATTGATCACCCTTCTTGTAAGCTTCATTGACTAAACGTTGACCTTCTTCTGTAGTTTCTTCTTTTGCACCCTTGAAGAAAGATGAGATACCATCAATGATACCATGGCTTTCGGTTTCAGCTTCTTCTAATTTTTCATTAACATTCTTCTTTAAATCGTCAATTGCCTTTTCTTCTGGATCAACGAATGCACTCTTGACTGAGTCAATACCGCTTGAGATATATTCTTGGACTGTATGGGCACCAGAAATTGCGCCTTCCTTAACTGATTCCCATGATGTGGTGGCTGACTCTTCAACATCTTTGTTTAAATCTTTAATATCTTCTTTGGCATTGTATTTGAATTTTTCAGCTTCTAAATTTGCTTTATTCTTTAATTTTTCACCTTCGTGTGATAATGAATTGAAGTTTTCTTTAGCTTGTTGTTCTACTCTACCCATTTTGTAAAATTTAATCTTGGTATATATTATTTAAAATTTTAAAAAAATAATTATAAAAAAAAAAAAATAAAAAAAAATAATTAATATTAAATCATTTTAAACTAAATAATAATAATATTTTAAAATATTATTTTTATTTCTATTATTTCTAAATACACTAATAAACTTACTTAATTTTTAAATATTTTTTTTTATAAGTTATATTATTTATTTATGTATATTACTTGTTATGAATTGAAAAAATGAATGTTGTTTTTTTTTTTTACTTAATTATTTATACTTTATCCCACATTGTTTTTTATTTTATTTTTTTTATTATTTTATTCTAAAAATGGAAATATGTTCATTTTCAAAATAATTATTTTTTTATTTTTTTATTTTTATTATTTTAATTTAATTTTTTTTTTAAAAATATTTTTTAAAAATATTTTTTTATTCCTAAAAAAGTTTAAAGATTAATCATTATTTAAATAATAATATTTTTAATATATTGGCTATTATTTGAAGATGGTTTTTTTTAGTATTTAGTTAATTTAAATCATTACATAATCTTTTAATTTTAAAAAAAAATTCAAAAAAAAAAATAAAATATTTTTAATTTAAAATTTTATTCATTGAAAAAAAAATAAATAAAAATAATAATAATTACATTTATTATAAAATTTATATTATTAATTATAATTAATCATTTAAATAATTAAATAATAGTAAGGCAACTTTAAAGAAAAAAAAAAATTAAAATAAAAAAATAATTTTCAAAATAAAATATTTTACAAATTTGTAAAAAATAAAATATACAAACTTATTTTTGATTATTAAATAAAAAGAAATGAAATAAAGAAATAAAGAAATAATATATATAAATTAAAAAATGGGTATTAATTATTTATTTTTTAAAAAAAAAAAAAGTTTAATTTTTTTTTTGTGAATTTATAATAATTTTTCAAAATTAAAGTGGGCATTATCATTAACATTAACTAATTTAGAGAAGGAAACAACTAAGTTACCTTCATTAAATTTCCAATCCCAACAGGTTGATTGTTTTGGTTCGCAACGATAAACGATTTTGTAATTTGGTACCATTTCAAGGAAAGCTTCCATAACCATTTCATCAGCACAACGCTTGACAATATTTTCAGTAACAGCTTTAGTGACATCGGCAAAAGAATCACCAATACGAGCTTTGGATGAATCATCTAATGATGGATAGATATCTTCGTAACAAGATTCTTCGATAGAAAAGTCAACTTTGGTGATATTCTTAACTTTTTCAAGGTACTCGGTGACTTTTTCTTGGTTTTCCTTTAAGTTGAGTTTAGCGGCTAACGAAAGAACACCTGGTACTGGTAAAATTTTAACGAAATCAAAGTGGGCATTATCGTTAATGTTAACAAGGTTCTTAAAGGTAAGATTTAAATCGCCACCATTAAAGTCCCAGCTCCAATAGGTGCCTTGTTTTTCATTTTTACGAATAACAAATTTAGCATTTGGAGTAGATTCCATAAAGGCTTCTAAAGTCTAAATAATATTAATAAAAAACATTATTGAATTAGTAACTATTTTAAATAAATCTTTATATTTTTTTTTTTTTTACATACCATATCATTTTTACATCTCTTTTCAATATTATCGACTGAAGCTTTGATGATTTCAGAAAGGGTATCACCAATTCTAATTTTGGTAGTTTCATCAAATGTTGGGTAAATTTGTTCAATAGCTGACTCGTCATATGACCAATCGACGTTGGTAATTTTCTTCAATCTTTCGAATTGGGTATTAATTTTTTCTTGATTTTCTTTGATGTTTAATCTTGTGGCTAATGAGAATACACCTGGTACTGGTAAAACTTTAACAAAATCATAGTGAGCATTATCGTTAACGTTTACTAAACGACTGAATGTGATAACTAAATCATTTGAAGGGAATGACCATGACCAATAATTCTTTTGTTTGGCATCAAATCTGAAAACAAATTTGGCATTTGCAGTTGCTTCAACGAAAGCTTCTAAAGTCTAAAATTTATTTTTAAAATATAAAAGTTAGTTTAAATTGTGATAAATAGCAATCACATAAACACTACTTACAGTTTCATCTTTACATCTCTTTTCAATGTTGTCAACTGATACTTTAATAATTTCAGCAAAAGTGTCACCAAGTCTAGCTTTTGATGAATCATCAATAGTTGGGTAAATTTCTTCGAGGGATGACTCATCATATGACCAATCCATTGAGGTAATTTTTTTCATTCTTTCGTATTGGGTATTAATCTTTTCTTGATTTTCTTTGATATTTAATCTTGTGGCTAATGAGAATACACCTGGTACTGGTAAAACTTTAACAAAATCAAAATGGGCATTGTCGTTAACGTTTACTAAACGTGAAAAAGTAATAACTAAATCTGAATTTTGGAATGCCCAACTCCAGTAAGTTTTTTGTTTTGGATCGTTTCTAAAAACAATTTTACCATTTGAAGTTGCTTCTGAAAAAGCTTCACATGTCTAATGAACAGATAATAAAAATAAATCAGTATTAGTGGTGTTTAAAATTAAAAATTATAAAAACTAAAAAAAAAATACCTACAACTTCATCTTTACATCTTTTTTCAATGTTTTTAACCATAGCATCTAAAAGTTGTGATAAGGTATCACCATATGATTCTTTTGAACTATCGTCGATGGCTGGGTATGTGGCTTCGAGTGATGATTCATCAAATGACCAATCTCTTCTGGTAATATCTTTTAATTTTTCAAAAGCTAAATCGAATTTTTCTTGATTGTTCTTTAAGTTTAATCTGGTGCCTAAAGAGTAGGTACCTTCAGATGGGATAATTTTGAATAATTTAAAGTGTGCAGCATCATTGATATTAGCGCAGTTTGATCTGAAAAGTAAATTGAGGTTACCACCATCAAATTGATATTTCCAATATACAGTGTTCTTTGGGTCTGGGTTAATCATAACATTAACCATCTTGCTACAGTTGGCTTCGATTAAAGCCTCTCTTGTTAAATCATCTTTACATGCTTCAGCAATACATTTTGCAATATTTGGACTTAAATTTTTATAAAAAGTTTCACCCTAAACAATAGTAAAATTAAAAATAAAATTAATTTTTAATTTTTATGTCAATTTAACAAACTATTAATTTATACATACAACATTTTTTTGGGTAGAGGCATCGAGTTTATCAAATAATGTATCCCTTTTAAAAAAATAAATTATAAAATTAATAAAAAAAAAAAGCTTTACAAAAAAAAATTAAATTAGTTTCTTACCAATCAAAGTTAATGGTCCATTCGACACCAGCTAAAGAAGTTTTAATTGATTCCAAGGATTTGTTTAAATGTTCTTCATTGTCTCTTAAGGATTTACGGGCAGTTAATGGAAGTGGCATTTTTACTTTGAAAAAAGATTTAAATAATTATAAAAAGAGAAATAAATAATAATGATATTTGATACAAATGAAAATAAAAATGAAAATATAATGGAACCTAAATAACAAAATGTCTTTATTTTTTTTTTTACTAAAATCAATAATTTACTCAGAAATTAAAAAAAAAAAAAAAAAAATAAAATTTTTTAAAAATATCTGGCTGATCAAATTTAAATATTTTTTTTTTTAATTTTTTTAACGCATACTGTCAAAAAAAAAATTTTAAATTTTTTCAAATTTTCAAGACTCGTCATTTTATTGTTTTAAGTGGGATATGATTTTTTATTTATTTTTATTTTTTTATTTATTTTTTATTTTTATTCACGTCACTTAAAAAAATGGATAATAAAAAATAAAATTCTTCATAAACAAAAAATATGGTTTTTTTCTAAAAATAACAGAAAATTTATTGAGCTTTGTTTTTGAGAAAAAAAGAATAAAAACAGACATAATAAATTTGTTAATGTATTGTGTGCTGGAAAAAAAAAAAAAAAAAAATATCTTTTTTCCAGCACAAACCACAACAATTATTTTTTTGGCACACGTCGTTGCATCATAATTTTAACGGCAATCAATGTGACTATTTATTTTCCAAAAATATAAATATCTAAAAAAAATAAAATGAAAATATAAATTTTTTTTAAATTTTATCAAATTTTTTATTACCAAACCACTAAAAATTGTTTTTCTATTAATTTTATTGTTAATAAACCATAAATTTAACAATTAATAGTTTAGAAAAAATAAACTATTTAAAAAATTTCTTTTATTTTCTATTTTTTATTTTCTTTTTTAAAATTTTTTTTTAATAGCCAGATCCGTCATCATCGCTGGTACCATCATCATCATCATCACTTATTATATCATTATTGTTGTCATTTGCATTTGTATTTTCTTTATAATTAATAAAATTTATAAAATCAGAAGATAAACTTTTAAAATTATAAGTGTTAATTGATAGCCAATCTATGTCTAAAGTATATCCATATTTGTCAGTTATTTGAATTTGAGAAAGTTTTTTAAAGTTTGGATTATTATGAAATACAGTAAAAATATCTGAAGCGGTTGATGAGAGATTTGTTTGGGTGTACAATTTGAATGAAACAGTGTTTAAATTTTCTAAATTTTTAAAACACTCAAGTAAAATAGCCAAGCAGCCATCATAGAATAACATTAGTTCCAAATATTTGATTCTTTTTTGTTTTTCTATATAAAGAATCTTGAAATTATCTGCAAAGGTATGGTTTATTCGATTTACAATAAGGGAGAACCGAGAGAGTTTTGAAAGTTTACCGTCGTTGTAGATTCTAAAAAAGAGGTTCATATCAAAAGATAGTTCCTTGATCATTTTGGTGTTAATTCTATGCCCCAAGATGTAGTCACCTGTCAAAAAGAGTTCAATTTGATAGTGCTTACCTAACTCTTTTAACAACTTTACTGATTTCATAGCTTCCGTGAATGGACATTTGATGATAATTCTCTTTAACGAAGGTACATTTAGGAAATTTTTTTTGTTTAAAATTTCTTTATTAATATGCCCAGTAATCTCTAATGTGTCCAATGATTTGAATGCATCTAGAATATAAAATTCAGCTTTTATAACATTGTTAATTTTGATTTTTAACCATTTCACTGTCAAAGGCTTTATTATGGAGTGATTGCCCAATGATTGAATCTCTAGTGAGTGGTAGTGGTAATAAATATCTAGAGGAACGAGCATTGATGAGTTCATTATATTTGATGTAATTTCGAATAGTTTTTTACTGACCAGTAATAGATTTAGTTTTTCGAATGAATATAATGAATTGTTATTAATTAAATTGAATATTATATTGGTTATTAAATAGTATGGTATTATAGGTGATCTATCATTGGTTGCTTTTCGATTATTGCTACTGTCATTATTAAATGTTATTTTATTTCTGTATATTGCTAGACTGTTACATTCATCTGGAAAAACCGGTTTGACGAATTGATCAATGGTGCTGATATGTAATATTGTTACTAAATGATTTAGTTTTTGATTTAAAAACTCTTTTAGTACTTTTGATTCTGCCAAATGCTGTTTATTAAAAAATTTTGGTAATAGTAGCTCTAGTGTTGAGCTTCTCTTTAAATAATTGAATAGAGTTTCATATGAATGCTTTAAAATCTCTTTATCTTGAACCTGGTCTTCATTAATCTTGAATATATTTATTAGCCTTGGATATTCAGCCGCATCTAAGAGCTTTAAATATTTCTTGAGGTATACTGAGGTTGTTATATATCTTTCAATCTTGAGACCATTTATTAATTTGGTTACTAGATCTAAAGTTTCATTAATTGGTTCCTCCTTGAATAATATAACTATTTTTTTAATGATTAGTTTGCTTAATTCTTTTGACTCTATTTCATTTTGGTTTGGATCTTTTGATATCATAAAAAGATGTTCTATGATACTCAAAGCTGATTTAAAACAATTTTGATTAAAGCTACCATTCTCTAATAATGCTTGAATTATAAAGTTCATTTTTTCCATTACTTCCACATGAATATTGCTATCAATGTGGATATTCTCGTAAACGGTTTGGGTGTTTTTGAAATAATTGAAGACCAGTTGTTTAAAGTCTACTATAAAGGTATTGGTTTGAACTTTTTTACGGCCGCAACTAATAATCTTTAAATATAACAGCTCTTTATCTTGGGCACTTCTATATTCATCTTGATTTATTAACTGAATTAAAAATCTAATCTCATCGATATAGTTTTCGAAATTATCTCTATTATATGCTGAAAATTCACTGCTTTCGAAAAACTCTATTATATCTTTGCTATATTTTTTATAATCTTCTGTACTCAAAATTTGTCTAAATGATAACATTGCAATTAATAAACTGTTATAATAAAACTTGGTCTTATTGATTTCTTTTATAAAGTCAACTATAGCTTTGATAACTTTATTTGATAATTGCTATTTATAAATCAAATTAAAATATTAAAATATGTTGGTTTTTTGATATTGATTTAGTTATTTTATAATTAAATAATAAAACTTACAATTTTAAATTCAGTATCATCTAAATTGTTTATATTATTAAATATGAATTGAAAAAATGTTGAACCTTTCCAAAAAAATAACCAATTTGAATTTGATGATTCATTTAAATAAATTCTAATGAATTTTAAAATAATAGATTCTATTTGTATATTTGAATAGTTGGTTTTAATAAAGTCTGGATATTTTAAAGCAATATTTTGTTCAAATTCGCTATATCTAATTTGTTTGGATGATTCATTTGTTTTAAATTTATCTATAATTCTTAAGAAAAGCTTGGTTGGTGAGATGTTTCTAATGAATTATTTGTGATTATAAATAATATATACACATACATTTTTATATTTATTAATTGATTTTTATTAAGTTTTATTAAATTCCCATATAAATATAAATATTTCATTAGAAATTGAAATGATTTAAATGAGGTTTCATTATTTTGTTGGTCTAATAATAAGGATGAACAGTATTCATCTATGTTTATAAGTGTGTTATAGCCGTCGTTCATTGGGGGATAAAAAAAAAAATGCATTTTTTTAAAAAATAAATTAAAAATAAAAAAAATAAAAAAAAAATTTAAATAAAATAAAAATTAAAAAAAAAAAAGAGAGATTTTATTTAAAAATTTAAATAACTTGGTTCAACGGTACTATCTATTAGCCATTTAATAATTTTACAATTTGGAATATCTTCCATTTTTTCATCTAGTAAATAATAAAAGAAATCACCATGTCCAACTACAGCAATATTTGATTCAGGTCTTGATAATAGGAGTTGTTTAAATTGTCTAATTCTTTCTAAAAATAAAGATTCTGATTCCCTGAATGGAGTTTTCATAAACACTTTGTGTGTGTCTATAGAAAGATCGCTTTTAAGTTCTGGACAAAATTCAGGGATCCACCAACGCTCCTCTAGTGATTGAAAATCGAATTCAGGGTATTCCTTTTCTATAATGGATCTTTCTCTTCCATTATCATCACTGGTCATTAACACTTCCCTGTGTAATGGAGATACAATACATTTAATATTACTATTTGACTCTAATAATTTGCTTAAGCTTCTTTTGGTTGTTTCTAAAGCCCTAGTTAATGGTGATGTAATAACCAGTTCCACATCTTTTAAATGCTCCATAACATGTTCTGATAATTGACTGGCTTGATTTTCTCCGACTTGTGTTAACCTTGCATCAAATAAATATGGATCCACTTTATTATCATAGGCTACATTAAAAGTTGATTCACCATGTCTAATTAAATAAATTGTTTTCATTATTTTATAAACTTTTTATATGTTATTATTTATTATTTGTTATTTATAAAAATGGATGTATTTATAATTTTCATTTTTCTTTGATAAAAAATATTTATGGTTGTGAAAAAAAAAGATAATTTTGGAGAAAATGAGAAAAAAATAAAAAAAATAAAAAAATAGGTTTTATTTTTTTTTTAAATTTTCGAATTTTTATTTCATATGTTTTTCTTTGTTTTAAATTATTATACCGATTAGAAAAAATAATTTTATTCTAAAATTAAATTCTATAAAAAAATGGCGTAAATTATAAATAGTATCAATTTATACAATTTCAATTGGGGTAGTTAATAAAATTAAAATATTTTTTGGATTGAGGGTGTTAAAATTAACTGTTTCTAATTTATTGATGTTTAAAAAAAATTTTAATTGGTAATTTATGAAGTTGTGTGTGGGGTGGGGTAAATAATTAATGATATTTTTTATTTATTTTTATTGTGTGGTAAAAAAAAAAAACAAAAAAACAAAAAACTAAATTTATTTGTTTTTTTTAAATAATTTTTTATCATTTTGTTAAAATGAATAAAAGTAATAATATAAATAATAATAAAAATTATAGTTATATAAATAATAGAGATAATGAATATTTATTTAAAAAAATAATTAAAAATGTATATTTATGGAGTTTAATATCCAAATATTTAAAAATTTATAATATTTTTTATAAATGTAGAAAAATAAATGTATCAGATTTAGTAAATAAAGAAACTATAGAGTTTTATAATGATGTGGAGCTAATAATACAAGATGATATAGATTTAGAAAAAATTACACCAGTAAATATAGAGTCTATGACATTGGACCTATCGGAATTTAGAAGTCAGAAATCATCGATCTCCATACCAAGCTCCGTCAAATCTTTAGGAATCTTAAATAACAATGCTCAAAGAACGAATAACAGAGACTTTACAGATATTTTATCATTTTTATCAAATTTAAAAATAGAAACACTATCAATATCAAGTAAATACAACAACACATTAATTCAAATCAACCCAAATTTTTTCCCAAGCTCATTAACTGAACTAGATCTGTCATGCTTTGGCCTAGAAATAAAGAAAGGAACCTTACCCAACACACTAAGGAAATTAACATTTTCTAAAGCAAAAAATAATAGTATTGAAAAAGGATCATTACCACCCAGTTTAAAAGAATTAATTGTAAACGAATACAGCTCAAAATTAACTCAAAACTCAATGATCAAATTAAATATTGACCGCTTTCAAACTATATTTCCAATCGAGAGTGGATATTTACCAGATGGCTTAGAGGTATTGAAATTAAATAACAACTTTTATGATGACTCTTTCAACATTCACAAGTTTTTCATCTTTCCAAGCAATCTTCAGTATTTAGAAATTAAACTTAAAAGTTTTAATTTTAAACTACCCTCATCTTTGAAAACCCTAATAATGGAAATGGACAATGACAACCTAGAAATCTCCAGCGAAATGATACCCTATGGTCTCACTTCATTAGAATGCAACTTTTCAACTTTAAAAGATTCAGATGGTATTTCAATATTCCCAGACACATTAACATCATTGGTTTTCAAAAACAAACTATTTAACGAGAGATTAGAGCCTTCAAATCTACCACAAAACTTACTCTATTTAGAGTTTACCTATCCATCTATATTTGACAATGGTTCTTTCAGCTTATCCAATCCCAAAACATTCCCACCATCTCTTACCTATATAGACTTTGGTAACTTTTTCAATCAAACCATAGGTGCAAATGTACTACCCCCATTTTTAAACACCCTTATATTTGGAGACTTTTATGATCAAGAAATAGGTATCAATGTTCTTCCATCTAGTTTAAAGATCCTAAAAATAGGCTACAACTTTTACCAAGATATTTTAACAGACTCTATTCCATTTAATTTAGAATTACTTGAAATTAGAAATAGAAACTATAAAAAACCAATTAAATTAAAAAACAGATACACACTGGTAGACCTATACAACTATTATAAGCAATTTGAACAATGCCCAGAAGAGCTCTACGTATACAAAGTACCATACAACAACTACAACACATTAGTGGTACTATCATTAAAAAATAAAATAAATTTAGAGTATCTAGATCTAAAGGAACAGAAATATTACCAATATAATATCGAAGATGATCTCCCAATAACATCTATTAAAACACTAGTATTAGGTATCAATTTTCAACAGACTATAGATTTAGAGCAATTCAATAACCTAGAAACTATTTATATTAATGACTCCAATCCAAAAATCAATACAACCATTTACACCTCCAACATTGATAATAATGTAAATTATAATTTCTTTAATTTAAAATCAATAATAGTACCTGCCACCAATTTAAAATTTTTAGATAACATTGACAAAATATTTTACCAATATATTACCCTAACTAAATAAATAAAAAAAGTGAATAAAGTATAGTTTAAAAAAAAAAGTTTTATTTTATTAAATATTTAGTATTTTTTAAATTCTTTATGGTTATCACCAAAACTAATTGCCATTTGATCCAAGAAATATTCCCTGTAGTTGCCTCTAAAATTTTGGAAATAGGAGTCTCTTTCTCTTACTGGAGGTTCTGGAATTCCCTCAATTACTTTGACTGGGGTATCCCATGGTGGGGATACAAATAATGGAAATGAGAAACGATCTTTACCGCTGGTATTGTATAAGACTCTGTGGAAATTTGAAAGATAATAACCTCTGGTCATAATTTGAAGCATGTCACCTAAATTAATAACAAATGTTCCTTTAATAGGTTTGGCATCAATATACTTGTCTTTGGATTTAATTTGCAAACCCCCTACATCATCTTGATGGAGAACTGTGATACTGCCCCAATCGGTGTGCTCTGATACACCAAACTTCTCTTGTTGATCACTTTCGTCTACATCATTGTTAAACGATGGATATCTTAAACATCCTAATATAGAGGATGGATTAGCGTTATAGTTATTTGTTTTGAAATAATCATTTGGTAAATGTAATGAAATTGCTATTAGTTCTAATATTTCATTAGATAAATTCAAGACCTTTTTAATATAGGTTTCAATTGTTTTTTTATAACCAACTATCCCATATTCTTTTTCCTCCTCTTCATTTGGGTATAAACGATTGGTTAAATGGTCTGCGTATTCATCCTGAACTAATAAATATGTCCCATCTTTATAATCTATTCCCTTGGTGTACCCATGTCCCTTTTTATCACCCACTTTAAAATAACCTAAAGCTTCACTAACGCCTGTTTTTCTTTTAAATCTGCATTTAAACTCCTCTGGCAAATCTAAAAACTTTTTAATAAATGAATACAAATCCTCAATTAATGACTCCTCTATCCCATGACCCTTTACATAAAAAAAACCATATTCTTTAGAAGCATCATGAATTTCTTTAGCAATTTTTGCTTTACCATTATCTGAATCTCTTGAAGATATATCAATTACTGGAATAACATTATTATAATTATCTACTTTAATATCTGTACTATTACTATTTGTGTTTGTATTTGTGGTTGTGGTGGTGGATAATGAAGTCATTATAATAAAATTAATTAAATTTCATAAGAAACAAAAAATATAAAAATTTTAATTTTTTTAAAAAAAAAAAAAAAGATAAAAAAAAAATAAATATTTTTTAATTAAAAATAACAGATATTATTTGCATTCTTTAAAAAAAAAATATATATATATTTTTTCCCATTAAAAATACAAATAAATAGTAATTTCTTTAAAAATTAAAAAGAATGAATGAATTTTACATTTTATTTTTTTAAATCTTTAACCATGCAACATTCTAATGCCTTTTTTAAAGTTCTCCCTATAAAAATTATTTTTATTTTAAGTATATATATTTATACTTATTAAGTGTTTAAATTTAGGTAAAAAGAAAAAAAATTATTTGAATAAACCAAATATCTATTAATTCTTTAATATATTTGTATTTTTTTTTTTTTTTTTTTATAATTTCAAAATTTTTTTAATTGTATTATTAATAAATATATATTTTTTTTAAATATTTTAAAATAAAATATCCCAAATATCATCCCTAATTAAAACTAAAAATTTAATTTTATAATTTTAAAAGTATAAAACATGTATTATAAAAAAAAAAAAAAAATATTTTTGGTTAATATTTTTTATTACATAAAGAATATTTCAAAATAAAAGAAAAAAAAAAATAGAGGAACTTTAAAATGTTCATGTTCATCTCAAAACAAAACATTCAATAAAAAAGAATCCCCAAATTTAAAATGTAGATTAGTGATAACTTTCAAAAAAAAAAGTTTCATATTATATATTTACAAAAAAAAAAAAAAATTAATAAACTATTCTGGAATATGAAATTATAAAATTAATTATAAAACTAATAATAAATAATAGATTAAAGATTAAAAAAGAAAAAAAGAATTTTTATTTTTTTATAATTATTTTGTTATTAATTTGTTAAATGCCATAGTAAATAGTTGGTTTTTCATTTTCTATTTTGTTGTGTATAATTGAAGATAGTTCATCCATTAATTGGGGATGTAACTTTTTATGAAGATCTGTTGAATAAAATTCTAAATATTTTAGATTTGGTAAATTTTTAAAATTGATCATGTCTATTTTTTGTGAAAAGAAATGACCAAATGTTATAGATTCTAATGATTTGGGCAATGTATTTGGGTGTATTAGTCTATCGAAAGAGTCTCCGAATGAAATTGATTTTAAATTGGGTGGGAGTGTATTGGAAATTTCAGTGTTAAAGTCACTGCCCAAATCTAAGTGCTCTATTGTAGGTGGTAAAATTGATAAGTCCTGATTAAACCCTCTATTAAATACTAATCTCTTAATGCTGGATGGCAAACTTTTTATTTCTGAATTGAATGAATAAAACTCCAACTCTTCGACTGAATCTGGTATTAAATTCTCTGTTAGAGGTTGGTCAAAATTTCCCATATTTAAATAAACTACTGAATCTGGTATTGATCCTTTAACTAAAACTTGGCTACAATCCTCTTTATTATCGCTACTTTTTTCCTCCTGTTCCTCCATAATACTATTTGTAAATGTATTTGAACCAAATGATAATGAAACTACTGACATTGGTAACACACCCGGTTTAATTTGTTTTGTATAGTTTAAAGTTTCTATCGATACCAATGTTACATTGATGGGTATATCCCCAGATTGAATTTCTTGATTAAATTCTGTGGTAAAACATAAAGATCTTACTGAATCTGGAATAAAACCATTGCTTAGATCTTCATTTGAATGAATTGTTAATCTTTCAATACTTGATGGTAATTTCATATCTTGATCTCCATTATTGCTAATTAAAGTTAAATCTGTATAAAACAAATCTTCGTTGATTTCATTATCTTCAAAATTAAATTGAAATGATTCTGAATGATAGTTTAATTCTGTTATATATGATTTGTATTTGAATAATTTCAATGTTTTTAAACAAAACATATTATATTCTTTTGATGTATATTCATGCACAAAATGATAAATTTTTAAATGATCAAATATTATTGATCTTATATAAACGTTATTCCATACCGATGATTTTAATTTTAATATACTATCATCATTATTATCTTTACAATGATTATTCATTCTCTATTTTTTGGTAAATTAAAATTTTAAAAAATAAAAAAAAAAAAATTAAATTTTTTAAAATTATAAAAAAAAAAAAAAAATTATTTATAACTACAAATAAATTATTATCTAAAATATAAATAAATTGTTGTTACGACTATATGATTATTTATTGTTTTTTTAAATATTTTTTTATTTTTTATTTTTTTTTTTAAATATTAAATATTTTTTTTTTTTTTTTTTTTTTTTTACTTTTTTCACATATATAAATCGATCATCAAATTTATTCATCATTTTCGACCATATATTTTAATAAAATTAAATTAAAATATATTTTCTATCTATATTACTATTATTGTTGTTGATATTATTATTATTATTATTATTATTTACTGTTATTCGGTGGTTGTGGTTATTTTTTTTTTATTTTTTTTTATATGATATTATTATTGATGTTTATAAAAATAAATTTAAGCGGTGGCAGTTGGGGCAGCAGTAGCAACTGGAGTGGTAGTAGTGGTGGTTGGGGTGGTAGCAGTAGTAGTGGTAGTAGTAGTGGTGGATGTGGTAGTTGGTTGATTTCTATTTTGACGTTGATTTTTACGATCTTTATTGTCACCTTTTCTATTTTGTTGAGTTCTTGATTCATTAATACCAACAACGATTTCAATACCACGATTAAATAAGGCTTTAGTTTTATCCATAACTTGACGGTAAGAGTTGTGTTGAGTAAACATTTTAATTTGATTATTAGCAGAATCAATTTTAGCAGTGAATCTAGTATTTCTGATAGCTTCAACAATCCATTTTTCTGATGATTCTTGTGGAATACCTAAATTTTTGCATAACATACTATAAAAATAAAAAAAAATAAAAAAAATTAATATGAAATTAAATAATATTATTTTCAAATTATTATCTACAGCTATATGATGATGATTATTATTATAATAATAATAATAGTGATTATTATTATTTCTTATGATTATGGTTGTTGCTTTAAAAAAACTTACTCGATATCAATATTTTCTAAAATATTACAATAGGTTTCAAAAACACAAACTCTTGAATTTTCCATAAATTCTTCAACACATGTATGAAGGAAGAAATCATTCTTTAAAACTTTTTCGCAAAGAGTTAATTGAGCTTGAGCTTCATCAAAGTTGAATTTAACAAAAAGATTTGAAATGAAAGCAGTGACTGGATCACGATAGACGTATGATTCTTGTTCTACGACACGAATTAAAGCGTTTAAAACACGTTGGAAAACATTTGATTGTTGTTTCTTTTTGTTGACAATGATGGCAACAGCTAAATAACGAAGGATATGTGGACAAGTGGTTTGAATGGCGTTTAAGTATTTATCTTCTAATAAGAGATCGACTAATGATGATCTGCTATCTGGATGGTAAAAGTAAACAAAGAGAGCTCTGTGAATTAACCAAGCTCTTTGGCCTAATTGTTCGATTGGTGAACCATTGCTATCGATTTGATCTTGAAGTGGTGAAATATCATTAACTGCAGCAGTCCAATTTAATGAAAGAATATCAGATTCGAGAATACCCCATAATGCAGAAAGTCTCTTTTCTCTGCTGATTGAGTGTTGTGAAAGTTGTAAAAAGATTTCCAAGTGATCTCTAGCACTACCATATTGACCAGTTTCAAATAATAATTTGGAAAATCTGTAAATTGATTCTAAAATTGCTGGTGTAACTGTTTCTTGTAATTGTGAAAATGGAATAACTTGAATGGTTGGGGTAGTAGTAGTAGTGGTGGTTGGTGCTGGAGTTGGTGTGGTGGTGGTGGTGGTAGTAGTTGATTCTTCAGTTTTATCGGAAGCGGCGGCAGCAGCAGCGGCAGCTTCTTTTTCTTGTTTTTGTTGTTCTTTTAATTCTTTTTGTTGTTCTTTTTGTTGTCTCTTTGATTCGATATATTGTGTGACAAATGAACATTCTTCTTTTAATTTATTAAGTTCTTCAACTAATTGTTTCTTTTTTTCTTGAAGTGGAGCTGTATCTCTACCTGTTGCTTTATATGCATCAATAGCGTAATCACAACAACCTGTATTTGATAAAATATCTGCCATTGCTTTATTAATTTCATTTTCTGAATATTGTTGGGTATCCTATATTAATTGAATTTAAAATTATTTGTTTTTTTTTTTTTTTTCAATTTATTTGATTATTATTCGTTATTATTGTTAATTAATGAATTTATTTAAGTTTGATTAAATTAGTTTAAAATAAAAAAGTTGAATTAATATTTATTTATTTATCTATTTATTTATTTATTTCTCTTCTTCTTTTTTTCTAATCCTATTATTTTTCATATTATTTATTATTTTATTTATTTATTTTATTTTTTTTTTCATAATAATTTTGATGATTCTTACATTAAGATACTTGACTAATGGAAGCATCATATGTGAATCTAAAAATCCCCATATTTGTTTAGTTAAATCGTATTCCATTTTGTATATATATTTATATAAAATAATAATCGCTTTACGTTCAGCTCTAAAAAAAAAAAAAAAAAAAAAAATTTTAAAAAAAAATTAAAAAAAAAAAAACAATTTTTTTTATTTTTAATTTTTTTTATTGATAATTTTTTTATTTTTTTTTTCTTTTTTTTCGTACTTCAAATCATTGA